TAAGCCAAGATACGTAGACAAAGCAGACGATATTGACATTGTCTCTGACACTCGACAACATCTTACTCAAGCTAACAAATTGTTGAGGACGTGTCTAAGCAATGGTTTGGGTGCCCCATAATTCGACACTAAAATGTGTGGTCAATATTACTTTCTCTTTAACCCTTCTTTCGTTCGAGTTGTTTTCCAAAACGATCGGTGCGTGACGATATTTTTCTCGAAAAAGGAACTTTGCAGCAAGATAATTCCAGCACAATGTTATCAAAACTTGCAAAAGTGCCCTGTTCATCCGGGCCGGTTAAAAATGTTGACAAAATCGTCACCGACACCAGGAGCTGGCGCCTAGGCGTGTGCGAGGTGATCTCGTTTTGTGCGCATTCCAGAGAATCCAGTATTTTCGTGTTCACGAACTGGTGAACTCCCTGCATATTCGTTTTCACAAAGTGATACCGATCTTAATTTCACTAGCTAAAACGACTTTTCATAATTTTTTGTCCAAAGCAACTGGGATACACATGGAATAAATTCATGCTAAACTATTCAAAGCATTTTTTCCGCCATGCATTGTCTATACAGGGGTGTCAGTTCGTAAAAAAGAAAATCTGTCTATTTCGCGTCAGTTCAAATGTGCGCATGCACTACCAGGTTTCAGTTCGTGAAACCGAAATTGGTGAAAGGGTGGTTTTCACGAACTGACACCCACTTGCGGGTGTGTGTCAGTTTGTGGTGTCGGTGACGAAATATTGCCTTCACCTCACACACGAAAAAAAATTTTTTTTCAGAACTGTTGTAAAAAAAAAAACAGTCCAAAGACATGTTTGTAAAAAAACTCAGCATTGCCAACAGCCTATAAAACCATTTCGCCAATGTTATTACATTATCAAGGAAGCGGTGTCACGAGAATGAAATGCTGCAAATCATGTAGGCCTATACTAAACTCCAACGTGTTTTGAAACTTGCTGGACAAGAAAGTGAGAAAATTCAAACAAACCCAAACGCCCTTTAATGATCATATCAGGAAAGGCCCAAGCGTTGTATATGATACATGTAATCTAGGACTGCAGACGAAAAGGATTAGTTCCTTAGCTGTGTTATGTACCATGTTGAATAGGCACACAAATAATATAGGTTTTCCTGGTCAATTTCAGAGAATATAATTTGTCAAATAAAATTTCAATTAAGCGTATATTTTGAAAACGACTTAAAACCTGGTTTCTTTTTGCAATAACAAGCATTCGGCTCTGTTTTGCACCCTTCAAATACATGAATGTGCATTACGTTTCTTTAAGGAGGTTACAAATACGTGACTGGGATTTCGGATTAACGTATCCGCTGCTAATTACAACAAAACGTGCATTCCTATTTGCTGAAAAGCTGTCTTTTACCGTCATCATTCGTGAGAGAGTATTAATTTTCATTTGCTGTAATTTAAAATTGCAAAATACACGTTCAATTTGATAAGAATATAAAAGGTTACCGTACACAAATCACGATACCAGTTTGGTAATAAACGTCATATTACTCATGAATGTTTATAGTAACTGTTTAAACTGTGAAATTTAAATAAGGTTTGTATGATTAAAACGCAGCACAAGAAGGAAGGCTCCCTCAGCGTCGGTGTTAATAGGTTTTCTGCAATAGTTGGTAGTTTCCAATGACAGCAAGAACGGTTTACTTCAGTCATGAATATTCAAGCATTTAACCAATCAACTAAACACTTCTAAGAATGTAACTACTGTTAGTACACAGATCTAATTCTTGTCCAGGCATACCTAAAAAGATACACAGGCTAAATCGCCTGCATATTTTGCGAACGCTGAATTTATACGACTGAATGCACCCTCACAGAAATGGAATTTTTATTTGAATATTTGTTCCATTTCGGTCGAAAACGAATGTCGCTCTTACTAATTCATTTACGCATTTTCCGAAATTGGCCGGGAAAACCCACACTATACTATATAAAATGAATTCGATGAAATAATAAATAAAGAAATCATCGGCGTACGAGACATGTAGAACATGATGCAGAAGCTATACATATCAAATATTGTCAGTAAAGGCCAAATTTATCAACGTTCTTCGTGAGGTGCGCTTTGAAAGGGGAGTCATACGGGCTTTGAAATAAAATACGCGCAGAAATAATTGCAGCGTGAGCATACTCAAAACATTTTGAATATCTGGAACACTTGATTGATGTTCTTCTGTCTTCAAGCTGACTTACTGTATGCATCATAATCCTGTGCTTCTGGCCGACACCATTAACGAAGTCGGGAAGGATACCGAGTGCAAGAGGATGACGAATGTAACATGGAATGGATAAAAACGTGCACTGTAAAAAAAACAGAACCCACTTCATGCACTTAAGCCTATAGGCACATGTTTAACCTGCTGCACTTGTGGTGTGTAAGTGATACTGAATGTTTCAAGCAAACTACTTCACATGCTTGAAGCATCAGTACCAGAAGTGCAACTGCTCCCGCTTCACACACCTGTATGCACGCACCTGTATGCACGCACCTACATGCATGCAGTTGCTGCACCTGAGGTGTTAAAGTGTACTTGAGGTTGTGATAAATATTTGAAGTACGCACTCCATGTCCTTTTGGCATTAGTTTGTTACCTAAGCAGTGAAATAACTTCTACCTCATGTACCTGTACGCACTTGAACATGCATCTGCCGCATATGAAGTGTTCGAGTACCAAGATATTCACACATGAAATGCTTGCGTCGCACGTGAAGTGATATTACGAATTTGAAGCGTAACACCCCATGAGCGTAAAGTGGTACCTGAAGTACCTGCTCCCAGTTCATGCACCTGCTCTTGCTGCACATGGAGTGTGCAAGTAGCAATATGGCCACCTAAATTGTGATTGATGGTAAGTTTGATACCTGAGGTGCATTTGCTCCCTCGCAATGCGCTTTCAAGTTAATATTCGATATATTGTAGGCCTACTTCATGTGACTGTATACATGTATGGCACCTTAACTAAGTGACAGTTATAGAATGATATCATTTTAAGGGTTCCTAACCAGTGTTGTAGGTCTCAGGACCTGGTTTTGGTCTCCAGACCCTCTCGAAACCCTTTTTGCGGTCTCGCTCTCTCCCTGTCAAAGTATCGATCTTGGGAGGGCCGGTCTCGGTCTCGAAAGCAACGGTCTCGGATGTCATAGTCTCGGGTCTCCCCCTCGAGACCAGTCGAGACCATAACAAAATGCGCATCTAGCTAACACGCATGCACGCGGTTGCAAAAGGCAAAATTACCTCTGCTCGAGTTAAATCTTCATTCACTGATATAAATACAACACAGTAATTTTCAGATTTCATTAATAAACAATGAAATCGATGCTGGAATGAAGACTAGTCAATGCAGCATGATGCAACCTTGTCCCAAGTTGTTACTTTATTTCCAATCCAGAGTAGCTATGCTGCTTGACACCATGGAGATGAGGTTGTGAGTAGCGGAATTCGCACACTAGACTGGTTCCCGTTATCTACGTAGTCTCCTGCTGAAGGTAGGGCCGGGACGGGAACCAGTCTGTGTGTGTACGCACACTATGAATTGCGTGCACGTGTGAAAGTGCTTTCATTCCGTCTTGTATGTGGTACATAACAAATATTTGACTTATTTGTGTGTTTGTGTTTATGCTAATGTATTCATTTTATTTCTTTTGTACTTAATTGTACTGCCATATGTTTGTCCCTATTTACCTTTTGGTAAAAACTAAACATTGGTTTATGGTTGGTCTCGGTCTCGGATGTCGTGGTCTCGGTCTCGGCCTCGACCGGCAAAAGTCACGGTCTCGAAGTCCTGGTCTTGGTCTTGAAGGAGTAGGTCTCGGTCTTGGTCTCGTATGCCTTGGTGTCGGTCTCGATCTTGGTTTCGGACAACAAGGTCTCGGATACAACACTGTTCCTTACCTAGTATTTGAAGGTTAACACGTGCTTGGGCACACTTTATGCACTCAACTGAGTTACTTAACAGATTACCGACCTGTGAATTACTTGCTGTGGCTTCCATTTTTTTTTTAAATATGTAATGCTTCGTGTGATTGTTCACTCTTGAGGTACCTGAGTGAATTTGAACTAGCACACCTCAGGTTTGAGCACATTATGGTGCGTGATCTACAAAACGTGGTTAAATGTCATAGAGCTGCTTAAGCACAGAATGCTTAAGCACGAAAAAAGCCTTGCTTAAACAAAGGTTACTAGCTCAAACTTTATGTGATTGTCATGCTAACCAAAAGACATGCAAATACCATTCTAAAGCAATATACATCAAAAGAAAATTTGGCTGGTAACTTCATTTGTCAAGCAAGGTTTTTTCACACTTTAACAAATTTTCGCTTAAGCAGCGCTATGAATTTGGCCCCGGTTTAAGAAGCAAATTCGGTGTTTCTGTGGGAATATGGACGGCAAGTGGGACTGAAAGTCCTTTTATGTCATATAACAGTTTGCACACTTGGTACCAAATGGTTAAGTACCTGACTTGAAGCGATAATTTAGCGCCCTTTTGGTAAAGTGAATACAACAGAGTACACAGCGGATCCGTGGGCGTCCCCTCGATTATCGACAGTCGCTTCGTGTTGTCGTGTCCCCATTTTGTGAGAATCACTAGCAAAAAATTATGTCCATACCTCCTAGCTGCCGGAATGAAAGTGTGACTGCTTTTTATTCTGTGTCCAGGCCCTCTCATTTCTGTATATTGGCCTTGGGCCCTACTTTCAGTCATTCACCTTAATGACATGGTTTCTGACCACATTCTGGGCAGCCTCTGCCTGATCGATTCCGTGGGTATTGAGTGATTATTTTGGGAGCCCAATCTGCTCACTTTTAGAGACATTTCCCATTTGTCGTCTTTCCAAAGATTTTCGTAGGCTTGGGAAATATTATAATGTACCTCGAACATTGCAAAAATAATTGCTTCCAACCGGCAGATAACAAGCTGCACATGACCGGAAAACAAAAAAGGCAGAGAAAATACTGAGGGCAACTTACGTTCGTGTGGTTTATATACAACTGCAGCTCGTAGTCGGCCAGTATGTCTTCTTGCTGGTTGATATCGTGAACTGCGAGTTCCATGGACTTGTCAAAGCCGATCCAAGACCCACCGGGGCTGAGGGCCATAACCGGCAGGGGCGTCTTGGTGGTCAAACCCAGACGGAGGCCCCCGCACAGGAGGAGTGCCAAGGCTCCCAACTTGCACAGGAAATCCATTTTTTTTTCTTGTGCCGACACAGTGATTGATTCAGGACACGGCGATTCTTCTGCGTCAGACGACCTATTCGGAAAGAAAACAATGGCACGCGTTAGTACGAGGCTTTCATGAACGGACGCCTATTGTTTTGGCGCAGCAGTCGGGACAGGCAGTGTTCAAATGAGAATGGACAGACGTTTTTACCCCATGCAATGCTAAATGACAATGACTTAGTACGTGCAGCGATATGACAATGTCGTTACATATTAATATACTGATTGACTGTAGGCTAAACCGAAGCCGCGTTTGCGCAAAACGTCGGGTGACTTTTCTTTTTCCTGAGGGGATTGGAGAATGACGTCACTGATTATTTGACCTGGTGCCTTGTTCGTTCGACGGTTTAACAAAAATTTCACTCTGGATTTCCCTATTCCACTAGAGGTGCTTTTGCATAAAACGTTTAGATGTCTTTTCCTCGTAACAAATGACGCAAAACACGAGCTACTGAAACCGCAGGTAGGCCCGAAGTGGCTTCCTCGAACATACTGCACCGCTTTGCTTAAACAAGTTATTTTCTTAATTTCTAAAATTCATCGGCTATTCCATGTGGGGGGTAGAACTGTATAGCCCAAGGGCCACGTGCTAATCCGACTTTTTAAATCCATTCTTTCATATTTTTCTGTTGTCTATGAACACAAGCAAACCTAAAAAATATATGTATATATTTGATATATAAAGGTTTCATTATAAGCCAGACCTCTGACACCTTATTTTCTTAATTTCGGGATCGTTCCGTGTAGAGCTTGTACACAGCACAGCGCATCATCTTTTTGTACGCGCTCAAGCCACCAAAAACTCGATTAAACAAAATCCTCAGGCTTATAGAACTTGAAATCGTCGATGCCAACCGCGCGCGCAGGAAAGGTGATTTTCAACTTTTGTCATGACGACAGACCGCCTTAGGATAATTGTACGATTTCGAATTATTAACAAAGACAAGGAAATCCACGGTTAAGCTCTCGTAATGTACAAATACCCTGAAGAGAACATGAATATAGATTGCTATTTCATATACACTGTTAAAATTGTGTTGTGCTACAGTGCGTTTGGTGTGAAACGTATCAGTAATTTTAATGGAGAATCTTTGTAACGGACGCACTTTGTGACTGTGCAGTGGTTTTGTGTGTTGCAACAGAACTCTGTAAAAAGCTCTGTAAATGTACAATTTTCCTCTGAAACACGGATTCACATAAAGTTTATTGACTTGAGTGCATAAAACCACTTTCTTGTTTTGCCATTTTTCTCGTGTTTCCTGTTATTGTAAGTAAATGGCGATGTTTTTGTGGAGAAAATTTTTTATTCTATGTCATCTTGAGTGCCAAAAATTAAGGCCTGCCAAAACAAATATGTTTTTTTAAATGAAACCAAACGTGTCAATGTAATCACCAACGAAAAGCGTAGGTAGCCCCCCTCAGCCTTGTAAGCAGCCCAGTTCAACCTCGGTTGCGTTTCTTCCACAAATATAATTGTTTTAGTCAGAAAACAACGTCCTCGTAAATCCACCAATAAAAATCTGTTCATGAATAAAATGAGCCTCCGTCCATTAACATGACATTTGTAATAACAATTGACATAAGATAAGATAATATGTAAATGTACAGAAAAATTGCAAACAGTGTTGATAACAACATTAGAAATTATTTTTCAATGAATCGTTTCTATGCATTCAAATCCCCAAACAAAAGTACATGGAAAATAGGCTTTGCGTATCGTGTTCGAAACTGTCTTCCAAAAGTTAACAATAACGAATTTTTATAGTTTAAGTCCTTTCCTCGATGAAGTTGATGAAATGTCTCTTCAGTTATTTTTTTGACGGTGATAAGTTGTATGCACTGTGTTTTCTTCGCCTCTTTTTATTGTTCGATTGTTAAAAAACGATCTTCGATGAATTGACTCAGCTAGAGTGCCATCCTTGAAACGGAAATAAACATAAAAATTACCAGAAAGAGAAACGAAAATGCTTCGTTTCTTCCCTTCCCTTTGTGGTCGCTGTCGCTACATGTCCAGGAAAGCATCCGTTTTATTTCTTCATTTTATCCCCAGACATTTCCCAAAATATCTGTCTAGGCCGGAACTCCTGATTGTTCATTACCTCTTCAATCACAGAATGATCAGATATTTCCCCTGCGAAAATACCCGGACAACAATGCTGCACTGGGCTGTGTTTCGTACTTCTGTACCGGTATTTAAAAAAAAAAACATCGAATTTCCTTTGCAACAACAAACGCGACGGACGTAAGTTCCCCAGAGTGCACAGTCATAACCGTCGAGCAGCGCCCACAGTTCCTCGAAATTCGCTCATGTTATTGAAGCTCCACAGCGAGTCTTTCGCCTTGTTGTGTAGACGTCTCTTTATGACGTCAAACGTTTATTTGGATAAATATTTTACCTCTTATAGGGTCCGTTGTTTTGTTTGGCTTTGTGGTAAGCTCTCACATCTTGAGTAAAACCCCAGAGCTGTTGAGAATAACGTACTTGAAAACAGCGGAAAGTTGAGGGACACTTTGCATCCCTTCATCCGCTTCTAATAATTGTGACAGGAAGTGAGCTGGATGCGAGTCGACGAACAGTAAAATAGTGTGAATGATACCGTAGCGGCGTGCCATGTAGTGACTTGGAAGGGGAGTTTGTTTCCGCTTCATATGTATGCACGCATGCGCATAAACGCATAAGCCTAGCGACATCAAGCAAGGGCAGTCCGCCGAAAAATGTACCAAGGGAACAATGATCTGAAAAGCTATAAAACCCTCCCGACTATTGCAAAATGAAACTTTTCCTTCCCTCACATGTTCTTGAAGTCGAAGGAAACCAGCGGGGCTCTTCTCCCGAGAAGTATAAAAACCTTTCATGTATAATTATTTATGTCAGGGTGTCGCGTGGATCGATAGGGCTTCCGATATTCGTATCGCTTGCGTGTAGTCAGTTGCGACAGAAGTGTTACAACTGTTGGAAACAAACTAGCTAGTATATGAACACTCGACTGTACAGCCATTTTATTTGCAAAGTCTTTAGTAAGGTTGCAATTCAGCCCGGGGTCGGACCCGGATCTGATTCGATCCTCTTTCCGGGCTCAGATCACGGACTTCACCGTAATGCCATCAATCAGAACACAGGGTTCATTGACGCCACCGACGTCCGTCTTACAATGCCGAAAACAAAAAAAGGCTTCCCAGCCATTATTAAGTTACGGGGGTGTGTCCACTTGCAAAAGAGATTTACCATCTCCCTGTGGCGAGTTACTATCTCCCTCTCACTGGGGAATTACTATTCGGTATTGGAGTCGAGTCATCGGTACTCCTAGCACTTTAGATGCCGAGTCCTAGGCCGAATACTGGAGACCAATCCGAGTCCAAAGCACGTACTGAGCCGAGTCTGAGTCAAATTCAGGGTCCGAGTACGCATAGGCCTACATGTGTAATACCAAGAAGGTTTCAAACAAATGAAATGCAAAAGTGAACACATCTACATGTTTGATACTTCAAGCACCATGCAATTATCGCCTTTACCGAGTAGTTACCACTTTCAACTTTTTCAGCGGTCAAAAATGAGATGTCCAGATTTTGGGCATGGTATACAAGTACACCCACAGACACCTAGATGCCAGTGCGTTTCGGTATACGAGTTGACTTTTACTGCACGGCAATAATACGTACAGTACAATGACGTGAAATTTACCGACTAAAAGGCAAACACAAAAACTTCCTGTTCTCATTCATACGGATTCCTTCTCACATGACTCATTAGAGTGTTCATGATATTCCTCACCATTCACAAGTACAGAAATGTCAGGGAAAACCCGACGAAATAGAAAAAAATCCCCTCTAAAATGTTAGCTTCACCACCAACTTTGGACTCTGTTGCTTTGGGAGGTACGTGATAAAGATGGGCAAAAAAAAACCGGCAGAAAATGGATTTTTATCTTGTGCAAGTTAGCAAAAGGGACTTTGAGTGTTTAAATTCTAATCTGTATGGAAATGAGGGGAAAGCAACTATATCTGAGCCTGACGTTGATTTATTACTTTTGGGGTCCTCCTGCCCAAGTCAAAAGCCATATTACTGGCTTCTGGCTGTAGTGGGATTCCGTACGCATGCGCACCATGTAAGTGAGGGGGCATGAACATACGTAACGGCCGCTGGCAGCTTCAGTCTATACAAAGACATTGCGAGTCTAGATTTTGTAATATGCATGACATCTGTAGCTCTGTCTCTTCGATCCCCCTTGCAGGATCCAGTGTAAACGTAGTAGCCTGCGATTCAGCCGGCGATATTGCCTGAATCATGCTGACCTTATGAATGGACTATCGTTCGAAGCCACATTTCGTTTATGTGTACGTGCTTTCCTGTGCTGTTCAGGGGTGCACCCATCATAAATTCCAATAGACACCATTGATAAATCCTTTCATCTCAAAATTAGTTATAAAATAAAACTCTCACAGGTGTCCAAGCGCGACAGCAAAAAGACGTTCGACATATCCTCTTTCATTTTCCTTTCAATTTTAGTGGGTTGACCGATGAATTTTTGAGAAATTCTCACCCATCGCAGACCACCCCTAAAATGAAGGAAATTTCACTGCCTGGAGAAGTAGCCATTTTGAAAATGCATCCCTCTGCAAAACGGCTTAAACGTGCCACTTTTGGACCCGATTGCATCCAAAAGTGCAAGTGCCAAATAAAGTATGACGACACCCATACATAGGCCTGTTGGTCTCAGGTGCGCCGACTCAGTTATGGACTTTAAATTGAAAGTGTACGTGAGTTCTCAAGGTATTATGTCCTTGTCACGGCAAAACATAACAGCGTTTCCTACATGTAAAAAAAAGCCTTTTCTTGAAAGCTCGCAAAATTAAAATGGCTCCATACTGTTTGGGCAGCTGCACCTGGGTTGAAGTAAATTCTTTTACACAAATGGAATGGACGTTTTTCGTTAAAAAGGGTTTGAGTAGAGAGCCATCCTTCTGTGGCACTTTTGTTCGTGCTGGCTTTGCTGCAAAAAGAGTAGAGGCAAATTGGTGTTACATTCACACCTCCGGTATCCCCACTGAACGGCATCTGTCTGTAGTGTTTAGCAATATCGATACTGAGGGTATTAAATTTGTACCACCGTTTTTGCAGTGTAATACGCCAAGTGGTAACCCTCGCCGGGGGGACGGGGAAAGGTGGGGGATGACTTGCCCAGCCATGGAAATTTGAAAAGGGGGGGGGTGCAACACCACACTGCAAAAAGACATTTTGGTGGTATCAGATGACCACTCCATAGGGTGTTACTTTAACACCCGTGGTGTTACTTTACACACCAAAAAGTGTTACAAAGCTCTGGAGGGTGTCAGAAATAACATCAAATAACATCAACATTTTTAAGACAATTGAAAAGTGTTGGTGTAGTCCCCTGACAGCACCGGGGGTGTTAAATTTGACACCCCAATTTTTGAAATGCATATAAACTTTATAGGATGCGATGTTCGCGATAAAGAGGTACATCTGTAATGTGTATTAAGTTCATGCACAATCTTACATCAGAATGGCATATTGATGGCTTTTAAAATTGCTTTCCTTTTTAGTGTTATTGCAAACATTTTCGTCGTTGGGAAATCCTGAAAATTCTTCAAAATCCACTTTAATCGCTCATCAAAAAGTGTGTAGGGGATGATTCAATAGTCCCCCGTCCCCACGTCAAAAAGTGGGGGGGGGGCATAAATACCCCATCTCCCCGGGATTTATGTCCATGGCCCTCGCTAATCTCGCTTTGGAGTGCTTTGAAAATAACGGGTGTGCACTGCTTTTCTATTCGTTTCATAATTTTTATTTTCATAAAAGTCCAAATCTCAGTGTACATCTACCTGAACCACAATCAGTCTCGTCAGGACTTTCTCGAAGTATCCTCAAACTTGTTCTCATCCTACTTTCGGTTCATGAATGAGGCCCCGGCAACGCTATTAATATTGCAAAATTTGTCTCACTATATGGCCACCGTAACGCTTGATCAGTTGTTATATCTGAATTAACTGGCTTTGGGCTGGAAATGACATAAGGGGTCTATGCAAGGCTGTTGCAGCCGCTAGCTATTGATGGCTGGCACGGTTGCACTTGTTATTTTGAACGACGGCGACCATTTTTTGAAGCACCCTCAGCCCATGTCCGAGTTTACTTGGCTGTGGCCAAGTAAGTTAAGCACGATTGTATGTAGTAGCATAGCATCAAACCATGGCCTTTCAACCGGCCCCGCTCTTGTTTTGCAAACAAAAGGTGGTTTGTTCTCGATGCAGTCAGCTAATAAACTTCTCGACGTTTGCCGTCTGACCGCAGGCGGAAAGAGCTGATCAAGCAAGGCATGGTCGATTGTCTTGACGCCACCATGGCATAAAGGATCCATAGACCTAACTCGCTGGATCAACACAATCGTGAAAATCGGCCACAAACACTCAGATCTTTCAATTTCCCAGACAATTGTATTGACTATAAATACTTGATTACACAGTCTGGCACTATAACTGCTTTCGATACGACAAAACAGTTTACTTTGTGCAAATTAATGGCTATATTGCATATATTTACCAAACTGGTCGATAACACTGGAGGTTCGCGACTGATGGGTTCTACCGAACACAGAGCAACCGAATTTGTGGGCGGATTATTTGACGTGAGGCCCAAATGAATATCATCGATCTGAAACACTGCCATGCAAAGGAGGAAATGGGAAAACCTGTTAAAATATACATTTAACACATTTTTGCGGAGAGGGTACAGTAATCGATTCTTAAATGCCTTATTTGAAATTATGCAGTCGATTCATGATTAAAAACCTCTGTATCAAGTGTGCCGGACGTTAACCTTGCACAGACTTGTATGCAGTGAATAGAATTATGTACGCGCACTGTATTTTACTTTAATCACCAACATGAATTTATGATTGAGGTTGATAATGATGTGGAAATAAGTGAGTAATGCACTTGGACAAAACGTTGTGAACTCGTTTTAGTTCGTAATGGAACTTTAGAAAGGGTGTTAGGCTGAAATAAAACTAGATCACGCACAGCGAAGTTTACAGGTTTATTACTCAGCAAAACATACAGTAATGCTGATATTGTTAATTAATGCAGTTAATTGCAGTTTAACTACGTGCACTGTTCAAACTTTCGTTTTGATCCAAACGCGAGCTGAAATCATAATGACTATAAGATAAAAATCTTAATTGCCATTAAGATAATTATACCAACAGGTTCACCGAGTCCCTTCAGCGGAAGCATCTGTTTCTAGCGATTTAGCAACAACGTGGAGAAGCTATAAAACGACCACGGTTTGGGATACTTCTTCACTTGTCAGTGTGACGCCAACAATCAACCATGCAGCCCTACGTCGTTCTCTTGGCTCTCTGCTTCATCGGTCTTGGTGAGTACGCATGTCTCCGTGTTCAACACCACACTGATTCAGGCTTACATAATCTTCCATAGCTCTCAGATTTTCCAGTACTTTGGTAAACAAATTGTGACCAACTCATAGTTTACCATAGGACATGTGGGCTACTCTTCCATATTGAGGATGAGAGCGTTTTTGATACCTTTTGGTAATCCAAGATGCACATTCAAAAGTACCAAAGGCAGTGAAGTGTTAGGTTTACATTTCGGGTGCAGAATACATGTATAGATTCATAGTTCTTAACTGGTGCGCACTATCGATTGAGTTATCTAATACGGGACGTCAGAAGCATGACGTCACATCTGAAGTGATGTATTTGTACTTCATATTAAAACTTGGGGACTGGATATAGCAGTACGAAATTTTGAATTGCAGAATGATCTCAACATCGACGGTCAAAATGAAACGTAGTTCTACTTTTGGCCAAATAAATTCAGTTGCTAACATGAACATTTTTGTTTCTCACTTTTATTTTCATGTCTTGGTCTTTGTCGCCGCAGTCAACGGTGAGTTAAAACAAAGTGCATTATATTCAAGTTCAGCTAATTTTGCACACAGTTTAACGCATATAACGTATAGCTGAAACCCACGTTTACCGTCTATAGTATCTCGCCTTAAAAAAACTACAAGCCCCTCAACGATGTTTCACACAAAGTGATCTATCGCTTTTTTCATCTCACATGATATTTCCCAGTTGGGCCTAATATCCACTTTTTTACCGTCTTTTCATAACGATTTGTCCCAAAAGAATATGCACTCCAGATAAATTCCTTGTTGAAAGTAGTCAACCCACATAACTGCATGCATGTGTGTTGCCGTACTTCGCCAAATATTGCCAAATGTCCATACTTAGGACGCTATAATTAGAAAACACAGCCCTCAGTGACGGGCCTAGGTTACCTGTGTTTTATTTTCCAAAAATGCCGTAAGTAAAATTGCTATTACCATTATTTTACTCACTGTAGCTGTTGACATCAACTGTGACGACAACCCCTGTCAAAATGGCGGAACCTGCAGGAAGTTCATTATATCATTCTGCTCCTGCCCACTAGGTATCCATGGAGACTTATGTGAAATCAGTAAGTATTCCAGTTTTAATTACAAATTTGATGCCATGGAACAACTAAGCGTCGTAACATTGAAAAGTCTATTTAGGGATCACACCCCCTAGCTATAAAAAAAGGAACAATGATTTCATTCAAGCGCGGATTAACAAGTACCAGCGAATGCTGCCAGTAATTGTCTCCCATAAGACACCATAGGCCAATAGGATCCATGGAAGCAAGGCTGCAAACCAATTCGTTCCGAGTACTAACCAGATAATGTCCATTTCTTTCAGATTGATGCCTTCAAGTTGTTGAAAAAAGACTTTTCTTTATTTGATATTAACGAAAATAATCGGTATTCCTCACTGCAGACCCATGCGAAGACGCTGATGATCCGTGCCAGAATGGGGGAACTTGCAGCAACAACCTGCTCTCTCGGAATTACACGTGTTCCTGTCCATACGGCACCAACGGCAGACATTGCGAAAATAGTAAGTTATTTTGACTTTTTGTTTCACCAATCAGTTTTTAAAGTTTTTGTTTTTAGTTTTTAGACATTCGTCCCCCTATATTTGCAGTTTTTGGGATGTACTTGTACTAATAACGGCTTATGCCTGTTTAACTGCAAATAGTTTCATCTCAGTTTCTTCTATTAATGCTTTTATTTTATAATGATAATTTTTTTCTATTTTCACTACCACTTTTAACATTTACATGTCATTAACTGCTCATTTTCCGCTTGTCCTTTCATGTTTAAAAATGAACTCGATAAGTGATTCGTAATTTATTATTTATATGTTGTTATTAAAAATCAAAGTTGATTATCATTAAATTAATTTGGACAACTCTCTGAATGTCTATTCCTTTGCGATTCTTTATGAAGTTCCTTGCAAAGGTGACCCTTGCCAAAACGGCGGGACCTGTTACCCGAGCCTCTTCAGCAACAAATACAGCTGCTCCTGCACTCCCGAGTACTACGGTGACAACTGTGAAACACGTAAATATCTCCAATTATATTTGTTCCTTTGTATTTTTCTTGGGCTCTTGGTGGCAGCAGACCACCCCCTTGCGAAATGTTTTTTTTTTGCGGCCCCTTCCTGCACGTTCATACGCAGCCCTTGAGCAGGGGTTCTGATTACACTGAAAGTTTAACGTGTCAGGAGAACCAATCTGATCAGTACAAGTTTTGACAATGACCGTAAAAGTGTCAACAACCTTCACATCTGATCATTATTCAGCTTTAATGAACCCCTAAATTTCCAGTACGGACCGTAATGGCAGACCTTTGACTCAATGAGTGACAGTACCGTAAATGCAGACCTTACGATACCGTGTCTTTGTTGGCCGAATTATGCTTTCGTAGTCAAGTGTTTGAAATATTGTGAATCTACTTTTGAGCAGGCAACGACAAGTGTGACGTTAATCCTTGCTTGAACGGCGGAACATGCAAGGTTTTCGGAAAGTCCCAGTACTGCGTGTGCCCACCTAATGTCAATGGCAAAGACTGCGAATACAGTAAGTAGCCAGACACAGCAAGGGTAAAATTATGAATAAATACCCATCAAGTTTAGTGCAAGCACGTGAATAACTGTCATTGATCGTAGGAAAAAGTACCACACTGGCATCTTAACATTCATGGGGCAGAACTTTCGGCCGAATGCCTGAGAAGGTTAGGCTCTGTGGATTTCTTGTAGACGAGGAAGACTACAAGCTGCGACCTACTTAGCTTCGAAACTATACAAGTTCAAAGGTACAGACGGTGTGAGAAATACATAAGTTCCCCCTTTTCCATTGACAGATCCGTGTGCTAAGAAGCCGTGCGGTACCGGGACGTGCTCTTCCATATTTCAGAACGAGTACCTGTGCTTCTGCCAAGATGGCCACATCGGCAAATGCTGCGGCGGGTGAGTAGGCATAATAATAGATGAAAAGGTTATGACCGTAGGCACACGCTGACAGCATAAATAGGAGACTTTCAGACGTTTACTTGCTGGCGGCAGACAAGCCAGTTCTTTTCCACTGCACCGTTGTGCGCGTACCCAGAATACTGTGCAGACCTGCGCGCGCATGCCCAGAGCTGCCAAAGAGCACATTAACTGCCACTACCAAGCGTCTCAAACTCTCTCGTAGGACCCATCTCCTCTGCTGGTAAATCTGATTAGTATTGGCCAGTATATCACTTTTGGTAATTTCACCATATACACAAGACTGCTATGCCTAAGTAAATTCTGTTAAATACTGTCTTGCTCCATGTTTTTCATGCCTATCCCAGCGTTACCACACCGACACTAAGGTATTTTAAAGGCCACTTTAAAAATATAACGTTATTCATGTTCACACAAAAGTCCCAACTCAATTCACGAGCGTCCCTCTCTCAAAAGACTCTTAGAGCTCCTAAGTGCTTGTGTAACATTTCACATTTTTCACATGTAGATTTTTGAACGTGCACTTTGTGTCCTGATGCGATTCGAAAGGCTATGTTGTGCAAGAGTCGCACTCTATCGTGAACCCTTTCCTTTATGATAGTTCGGTTCTGCTTTTGTGCCTCAGGGTTCTTCAATTATTTTGCTTTCAGGCACGACGCACCGAAACCCTCGCCCGACCCATCTGGGTTGTAGCCAGTTGAGCTGTTGGCATAAACCTACATCCCTAGCCACTGAATCGATCAGTCCACGTCTACCAAGATGCCAGTTATTCAGAAGCGTAGAAAATAGACAGCCGCTTAGTGTCCCTGCTTAATAATTACTAATTGTCGACAGTAAACAATGACACTTTGATCTTTACCAATTCAAAATAAAGATAAAACGGGAGGCAAATTAGTAACACAACAAATATGCATGATTCTGTTGTTAGTTACGGTTATTTGAAGTTCAAGGCTACATGCGTGCCTTATCCGCATGCACTGAGCACCACAGTGGGAAAAAGTACACATTTTTGGTTGACCCGTCTCGGAAAAAATAGGCGCTACGCAAGAATGACCACAAAGAGTTACTCTAAACTTCTGAAAAATATGCACTTCGGCAATATTGAAAAATGTCGGGGGGGGGTAGGTTAAGTTAACGAAAAGGTTACAAGTCAATATCTGCTTTGGCAAGTTTCACTTTCCTGATAGAATTTACCACCTTTTATTGCATGCATGCTACAGCTTCAAACGTCTGACCGACAGTTACTGAATTAATCGATTGCATGGAAGATTAATCAATTGCATGGAAGATTTGTAATCGTATACCAAATAATATTTTCCAATTCACAACCTACTAGTAGCAGCTGCTGAATAAATGCTAAAGAGCGAAAAGAATTTATGTTGTTGTAGAAGTTCTGTTTGAGAGATCAGTTTTAAAAATCGAGCCGAGTTGACATCGGTAATCATGCCTAGGGGATTGAGCGACCACGCACGACCAGTGTTTCTGGAAGACTTACCCCGGCGTCACTGATGGCCTTTCATCGCTCCTCATTCCAGGCAGCCTTCACCGTTCTGTAGTCTGAGTCTGCAGGCGTGGACCTACCTATAAACCATCCCAGACTTCGACTCACGATATGGCCCACCATTAAAATTTGTCCTTCGGTTAACTCTGACCATTTTAACAGTTTTAATCAGCGAGCTTTGTGTTGACCTGCCGCGCCCTCCTTTGAGACAGAGTCGCTTATGCAGCGTCAGCATCAAATTTTATACTCAGCGAGACATGCATGGACGCAGGGGTATCCCCCCACACACATTCCAAGCCCTATACACACTGTACCCTATACGTGTCTGAAAAAAATTTCTGAGATTCCGTTCAAACAACGGCCAACAAGGGGGGGGGTTCTCTGTCTCACATCTTACTTCAAGCGTCAAATTTTGCACACAGAATGGCTGTTCATTATGCGTACGGAAGGGCGTGCAGCTATTGTACATGTATACTGACTGTCCGCTTGCATCAGCGTATGCACACCTGCCAATGTGTTTCTGACAATGGGGAGACAGTGAGGTCGTACCGCTCGCCATACTCGGCTCTGCCTTTAGACATCAGGCGATCAAACGTTTTTAATAGATCCATGATTATTGCTAGCTAGTAACCGACCTTTTTGCCCTCAACCAACACCAGCCGACCTGTCTTTGCTTCAGCAGTCAGCCAGCAACTTGAACTTCCCCAAATGCCCGGAGGTGACCGAAGGGCCGATGTCCGATCCTCGTCTTCAAAATACTCCTGTTTCACGCTTACCTATGTATGATTCCGCAAAATGTTTCTAAAAATTAACATTTATTTTCTCTTCATGGTAGAGCTCATTAAATAAGATATAAAACAATAGATGTAAAAGGATCAATAATAGAAGACGGTTGCAAAACCCATAAAAGGAAAATCTTGTATAATGCATACCGTGTTAATTAATCAGAATACACGGATAAATCCAAAACAAACAGGACGTCAATTCAGAAATACAAAACGAAGAAAATCAAACACAGGCAACCAATTCGAAAAATAAAGTTATAGAGTAAATGTAATCAGAAATAAACTGTGTGATGTAAAATCAGGCAAAGGGGGCAGAGGGAAAAATCGACATTGAAATAATGTAAACTAGATTAAAGATGATATACAGTTTGAAAAGAATAAATTTACAGGAGATATGACTTCAGTTTGCACTTGAAAATTTAGTAAGAGTTTGACCGTATAAGAGACAGTGGCAAAGAATTCCACATTTTGGGTCCAGAAAATGTAATACTGTTTTGAAAGGCAGTCGTTCCGTGTTGAGGTATATAGAATGATGAATAAGATGATACTCTGGTATTGTAATTACGTAAATTGGAAGAAGCATAAACATTTAACTACGAGCTCCGAGCGCCAACAAAAGAGGGCGCAAATTACCTGGCAACGGAGGCTCTGTTGGTGGTAACCGCACTTCGCTGGTTCACGAAGGAGTAGGAAATGCATGCGTTGCGTTGGCTTTGGCTACCAACACAAATGGACACTCCCTACCAATATGGCTCTTTTCAACAGATGAGGGGGTGCTTCTGCTCAAGGCGGATAGGAGAGTGGCAGTAAATTACTAAAATATTTAGACCTAAATAACGCGTGCTGGTAGTTCGTTGTGACAACAACTTTCTTTTGCAGAAGAATTTATTTATCTTAGTTCGTCCGAAAAGTATTTTCCCAGACAATATTATAATAAAAAGAGAAGTATTCGTGATGAAGATCCTCCAGAACAGAAACCTAAACAATATCTATGTCTGATCACTCCAATACTTCCAGAGATTTTACTCACAATTGCGTCGACACGAAGTTTCCAAGTCAATTTGCCATCAATAATAACACCCAGAGATTTAAGCCATTTTTTCACAAAATTAATGGTTTGTCTAATATGGTGTTAAAGTTTGATAAGTTACTGTGCTTATTATTGTTACTAAAAATCATGTAATGGCATTTATAGAAATTGAAGGATAAAAAGTTCGCTTAGCACCAGTCACACGTGTGAACTAATTCATTGTTAACTATTTCATGAAGGGAGACGTACGGAAACCCTTTAGGGCCATCAAGTAGAAACAAGTGATTTTTTTTCAAATTTTCAAAGGATTTTATGAAGTATATTTTTTCAACTGAGCTTTTACCAGAAATATTTTTGTCCAAAGTTCGTTTGTACGATGTATATCCACTCTAGTTCGTTCTGAAAGGACCTAGTTTTAGGAACATCGGGTCTTTTTTGAAACAAATAGGTTTTGCGAGATATATTTTTGATCGAGTATGTTTTTATGAGATATGATAACGTGAAGTGAGAAAGTATTAATACTCACAGAGAGATGTATAAGTAAAGATGGAGGAGATATTCAGCTAAATTCTGGTTTATTTTCTCTGAGCACCGCGTTAGTGTCAGCTCAAGACGAGCGCCCTCACATTACTCACGTGAGTCGCCACTGGCTCCATAGGGAAATGCACGTGTAAACACGTGTGACGTCATCAGGGCATAGGCCCATTGGTCTCAGATGCACTGACTCTGTTTTGAACTGTTTCATTGAAAATGCACGGGAGTTCTAGAAATATATGTCCTTGCGACGGCAATATATAACAGCGTTTTCTGCAGGTAAAAGATAGCCTTTTCCGTAATTTTTTTAACCGAAATTACAAGTGGACATGTTTTGTTAAAAGAAGCTTGAGTTGGGAGCAATCCTTCTGTGGCCCTTTTGTTTTTAAAACAGTTTATGTCTGCCTTGCTGCACAAACTGTGGTTGAAAATTGATGTGATCAACACTCTAGGGCTCTTTTTTCATCCAGCCTTAAAGCGAAATCGGCTTCGTATATAGACTTTTTTAAAACATTTTCAAATTATTCAAAAGAGCCCCGACAAAGTTTGTCTCACTATTAGGCCGCCGGACCGATTAATCGTTGGCTATGTCTGAATCAACTGGTCGGGGGCTGGGAATAAGGCACACGGTCTATGGGAGGATTGCATCTGCTAGTCAGTGGTTTGCACAGTCAAACCTGTTACTTCAAGCGGCAGCCACAACTTTCAAATGCACCCTTGGGCCCTGTGCAAATCACTTGGCAGCACGGGTGTTTGCTAGTGGCTGCAGCCAGGTACTGTAGCGTCGTGTGTAACCTCAAGCTTTTCAGCTCGGTCCAGCCCTTGAGCGAACAAGGGGCGGTTGTTGCTAAATACAGTCAGCCAATATACCTCTGAACATTTGCCGTCTGACCGCGGCGAAAAGACCTGATCAAATGGGATTGATTATCGGGGGGACACCACAGCACAAAACACCTAGAATGCAACCCGTTGAATCAACTAGATCTTCAAAATCGACCACAAGCTCTCAGATCTGTCATTTTCCCAGAAGGTTTTATTGATTGAATAGTTAATAACAAAGTATGGCACCAACTGCTTTCACATTGATGATATTGTTTACTTTGTGCAAATTAATGGCTACATCGCGCCTATAACATTACTATACCAAAATGGGGAACAGTTGGGGTTCAGTGACGTGGTTTATCAAACTGGTCGATAGCATGGGAGGCTGGTGACTTGTGGATTCTACCAAACAAAGCAAACCGAATTTGTGGGGTGTGCGTTATTTTTCGTAAGGCCCAAATGAATATCATTCATCTAAAACACTGTCAAGCAAAGGGAAAAAAGGGAACCCTAATTAAAAATAAGGTTTATTACAACACTTTTTCTGGAGAAGTCCAAGCAAGCGATTCCTCGAAAATGTTAAACGCCTTATTTGAGATTATTCACACGTTTAGTAACTAAAACCTCCACACAATGCGTGAAGAACGCAATACAAAATTTTATCCAGTATATACAAATTATGTACACACTTTACATATTTTACTTTGTAATAGCCAACATGAATTTCTGATAATGTGGCGGTCCAAGTCGACGACGCCCGACCTGACCTTGGCCGACTCGACGAGCGGCTGTGGAGTAGGCTAGGGGTGCAGGTCCGTTCTGGGGAAGTCTGCCCGGCGGCCGCAGCTACTTCCGGTCACACACACGGACAGGGTTTCAGGACAGCACGGGAGGGGGAAGTATTGAGCCCTACACTCTCCACAGCATTTATTAAACACATACTGAACTTGCTTATTTTTGGTTAACTTTCTATGTGTGTTTATTCAAATCACTGTTAGATGGCGCGTAGGTACGTGCATGTAGGGTGTTTCGATTAGTGAACTAAATGAACAAAATAATTGCACCTGCCGACTGACTAGACGAATTTACGGGGACTGACTAACAAAACTGACATGAAGGACTTACAGAAAAGACTTGAAACACTGACTTGATCTTTCGAAGGACGAACCAGTCAAGACTCGAGAAGTAAAACGAGTAAAGATACAGTCGATCGTCGCCAAATACCTCACGTGAGACTCACTTTCCCGCCGCGGCGCGCGGGTTTATGTAGCTGTGCGGTCCAGACAGGGGCTGTGCGACATGCTCCAATCTTCCACACTTGAAGACGTCCGGCAGCCACTCGGCAACTCAACTACGTCTTGAATGAATAAGTATATAAATTCCAGAGGGCGCCTTACTGGTTACAATAATTTCGCTGCAATAGTTTGAAAGTAATATGGAAATAGGAGAGTAAGTCATTTCGACAAAACGTTACGAGTTCGTTTAAGTTCTTGATTTGAACTTTACTCGGGATTCAGAAAGAGTCGTCAGATTAAAATAAAAGTAGATCACGCACGGCGAAGTTTAATGTTTAACCACTCAGCAAAACATTAAAAAATGCGGACACTAAGATAAGATTTAATATTGATATGACGCTGGTTTTTGTTTGACTTTCGTTTCGCTCCAACGCAAGCCGAAGCGCAAGCTGAAATCTTAATAACCATTAAGATAAACTTGTAACTACCATTAAGAAAATTATACCAACAAAATCATCGAGTCCCTTCAGCGGAAGCATCTGTTTCTAGCGATTTAGCAACAACGTGGAGAAGCTATAAAACGACCACGGTTCTGGATACTTCTTCACTCGTCAGTGTGACACCAACAATCAACCATGCAGCCTTACGTCGTTCTCTTTGCTCTCTGCCTGATCGGCCTCGGTGAGTAAGAATTTATTCATTTATAAAGTGAAAATTTCATACAGACACCTTCAAATTCGCTGTACAATGAAGACATTGAACGTAGGTCGAGCCAAGTACGCATGAGGAGTTAAGCACACCGATATCTGGTTGTATCCTCCTCCATATCTGGTGTTTTGGAAAATAAAGTTGTGACCAACTCATAGTTCACCAAAAATGTACACTAGCATTACGTAGGCTCCTCTTTGAGGAGTGTTTTTATACAAAGTTGCTTTATAATACATTAATTGATTCAGAAGTACAAGACTGAAGCGTTCATAGTAAAGTGTTCTAGGTTTACATTTCCGGACGCTCGATTAGAGATTCTTGGCTGGTGCGCGCGCACTTATCATGGACGGCAAACGCATGTCATATCCAACAATGACATTTATTCGAAACGATGTGTATTCGGTTCGTTTTAATACTTTCAGACTGGAGAGACTACATGAAGTGAAATTTTTTGATGTACAGGGTGTTCTCAACACCAACTGGAAAAGCGAAATATATTTCGACCTTTGCCAACATCAACATTTATGATTCTCTCCCTTTTTCCCCTCATGTCTCGCTGTCTGTCGCCGCAGTCAACGGTGAGTTAATACAAACTGCATTGTGTTCAGATCCAGCTAATTTTAAACACAAGTATAAACGCATGGCGGGAACCCAACTTCACCCTACAATCTCTTGCCTTCTAAAAGCAGCCCACACCCTCACAACGATGCTTCACTCATAAAGCGACCAAGTGCTCTGCTCATCTTAAACAATTTTTTTCCCAGTTGAGCCAAATTTCCAAATTCTACCGTCTTTTTCATAATGATCCAAATAAATTCATTCTGGTAGTCAAATTGCTTAACGTACATGTTAGTTGCCATACTTTGCTCAAATCTCCATTTGGGGGGCGGGGGTGCTTGTTGGAAAATACGCCCATAGCACTTTTTGTCAGTCCATGCTATGTGTATATCATCCAAAGTGACGGTGCCTATAGGTTACCTTTGCACATACATGTACATGTATAATGACCATTAGTTTCCTCCTTTCAGCTAACGCTGTCATCACCTGCGACAACCACCCCTGCAAAAATGGCGGCACCTGTATCCAGGAGATCTTTGACGAGGGGTACAGATGCAAGTGCCCCATGGAATACTACGGCACCAACTGTGAAAAACGTAAATTAGTTCTCGTATTCCTTGAAGCTTTAAGAAGAATAATTTTAAGGTGTAGTCGCAACAGGAACATGAATTCCGTTCACCAAGAGAAAAAGTGCATTTCCAAAAACATTTCCATGTTGCATAGACTCAAAGGGTTAAATAACCCCGTCTTTGTTTGCCAATTTATGCCCTCTTAGTTAAAGGGAGGTTACACCATTGGGTTTTTGTCTTAAATTTACAAGATTGGTTGAGTTAGGGGTGTATAAAATTAACTACAGTTTTCATTCCACTGATTTATCTCACGTTTGAGCAAAATCCATGGACTACAGGGTGTTCTGAATGAGCAAAGAACGTACTCGAAGGGCCCATCTGCTGAAGAGCAGGCATGACATTTGAAAAAGTCTAAAGAGCATTATTTTTCCTCAGTCAAAAGAAATCAGTAAATTTACCTTGAACTAATGCCTATTCGACAATGCAAAACTGTCGATCCAAGGGAAAATCTTCATCGGGCGGTAAAGTACGTGACTCGATCCTACAACATCCCACCCATGTGTGTACGCGAATATGCTTCGAGTCATGACTGCACTTTGGCGTCAGTTAACACGTCAGTGGAAGTCTAAAGTTCATTCTCAGTTTGGCACAGAGGAAATTATATCTGGAAATACAAGAGGTTTAACGTCTGGAAATCGTAGTTTTTGTTGACGAAAATCCTCTCTGTGCACTGAGACCGGAACGGCCGCCATGTTACGGTTTGGACCATACCATTATGCTTCAGGGATGATAGTGGCATTGCAACATTTTGCGAAAAGGAAATCTCCCTTTCGTAGATAAAATTTGACTTTGAACTGATCCAGTTTGTTTTGTTAATTTATACCTAACATTCTGTTACCTCTCTTGTTTCAGTTTTCAACATGTTTTGTGAATTTCGCCTGTGTATTTTCGTTGGTTTGGGGATTATCCACTAATAACAACTCCTACCACATTCAGTGCACACAGTTAAGATATTTAAAACGAAACGAATTTTTATATGATAGTCGGCCGACCATCCTGAAAAACGAGGGGGGGAAATCCATTTTCTAGAAAACGATACCACCTTGGGCGGAAATATTTCACGGACTGACCGAGGCTGTTATTTACTTTCTTTCAAGTTACATTTTTAAGGAGGGTCCCATGTTTGTAATTTTGCCAACGCTGTAGCCTACCCTTACGAGTTCGACACACGGGACGATTATGTGACTATATTTTTGCACAGGCAACGACAAGTGTGACACCAATCCCTGCTTGAACGGCGGTTCGTGCCAGGTGTCTGGGCCCTCCCAAAGCTGCGTTTGTCCACCTGACGCCAGTGGCAAAATGTGCCAATACAGTGAGTGACCCATAGGAGCGAGAAGAGAAATTATGGAAAAAATAACACCCACCAAAGTTAGTGAGAGCACTTGAGTAATTTTTCAATGATCGAAGGGAAACTTGCTGAACGCTGGGGCAGAAATGTCGACCGAATGCCAACCAAAATGTAGAGACGCCGTGTGAGATGCATACATTTCCCTTTTCTCCACCGACAGGACCGTGCGATACGAAGCCCTGCGGTATGGGGGAATGCTTTATCGTATATGAGAACATATACTTCTGTCTCTGCCCAGACGGCCACGTCTACAAAGACTGCAATGGGTGAGTAGGCCTAAACAAAATGTTGCCAATTCAGAGATCATGTGGGATAGACCCTTTTCCCATACATGGGCCTCCATCTGTGGACAAACTACCTTCAGATATCCATCTTTTTCATATCGTCATCTCACTTCATCACTAACTTCAACTACCTGGTTTACTGTGGTGCACCATGAGCGCCACGTTTAGGCGGATACAGCGGTGCCTTAGAAATTTTCTGTGTTATCATGTTCATTAGCTATTCTGATTATACCATGGCAAGATAAATAGGACCCGCCTCCGCCGGTTGATCTGCCGGTAGCCAGTACATCACTGTTCTTAAGTTTACCATCTGCCTGTGCTGTAAGATGTTTCTGTTGGTCCCTGTTGTTCAAGTCAATCCCTGAATTACCACACAGACACAACGGCATCGCAAACTCCACTTAAAAAGGAGACATTATTCATGATCGCTCAAAAATTCAAACTAAATAGCGTGCAACCCTGTATCCCAAAGACTGCAGAACTGACGAGAGTTTGCGTGAAATTTCAGTTTCGCATGAACGTCGACTCTCTGTCCACAATGCGATTCTAAAGGTTTTGTTGTGCAAGATGGCACACTCTGCCATGAACCGCTTCTTTTTAATATGATAGTCCGGTTCTGATTGTGTGCCTCAGGTTTCTACAATTTATTTTGCTTTCAGGCATGACGTGCGGAAACCCTCTCCCTAGCCGACTGGGCTGTAGGCAGTTCAGCTGTTGGGATAGGCCTATGTCCCCAGCTACCGAAACGATCAGTCAACGACCACCAACATGCCCGCAGTTATTCAGAAGCGTTGAAAATAATTCCAATATAGACGCTTAATTTGAATTATTTGCTTGAATGATTTCAGCACCCCGAGGTTTAATCTAAACACTGTCAACTGTAAACAATGGCACTTTGATCATCACTTAAAGAACGATATCTCTTTTTCTCCACACTCTTGAAAGTGGGGAGTCGTTATTAGTCTCTTATTTTATTTAGAATCCTTGGCATTAAGTTAATTAAAGAAAAGGTTACAAGTCAATATCTGCTTTGGCGAGTTTCACTTTCCTGAAAGAATTTACCACCTTTTATTGCATGCATACTACAGCTTCAAACGTCTGACCGACAGTTACTGAATTAATCGATTGCATGGAAGATTAATCGATTGCATGGAAGATTTGTAATCATATACCAAATAATATCTTTTAATGAAAGAAAAGAAGAGCAAAAAGAATCAATGTTACTGTTGACGTGTTTCTTAAGTGTTAAAAAAGGGAGCCGAGAAATTAACGTCGGGTGAGCATGCCTACGGGATTTAGCGACCCCGACCGGCTTTCCTGTGAAGACTTACCCATCACCGATGGCCTTTTGCCAGTCATCATTCAAGGCATCGTCCATTCTTCTGTAGCCTTACCTGAGGCAGCAGACTGGGATCTGGAACGATCCCAGACTTCGACTCGTGATCCAGTCTACCATTAAAATTTGGCCCTCAGTAGGCTCCGACAACTTCTTGTGCTCCAATCGGCGTACCGTGCGTTGATCGGCTGGATTAGACGGAGATGTCTATTGCGAGAATAGCGCCAACTTCAGATTTTGGAAACAAAATGGCTGTTCATTATAGGCCTGTGTACGCTTGGGCGTGCGGAATTAAAAGACCAACTGTGCGTGTGCACAAACGCACACACTTGCCATTTAATTTCCAACAATGGTGACATTCATGTCGTTATACTCACACTATACACGGCTCTTCTTGAGCATGGGGAATAAGCCTTTTGCGAGTTAAATTTGAGTAACATCTGGTACACTGAGTTCTTTAAATTCACGTGAACACAACAATTTGAATTCTCCATACAAAAACCACTATTGCTACACTCTAAAAACGTCCGGGTCAGATTGACCCAGAATTGGGTCCCATTCGGTATGACTCTTTTCTGGGTCAAAATAATTAATCAAAATATTTAATTTGACCCGGAAAAGGGGCCAATCTGACCCGGACGTTTTTAGAGTGTATACCTATTGATTGGGGCAAGCTCTTGCATAGTTACATAAGAGACGCCTTGCATTGAAACACTGTTTTCAATGGATACGAAGGGCACAAAGGAACCAGTCCATCCTAGAAATGGTAGTCGCTATGCAAAAGCTTGTCCCGAATCACGAGGTATAGCAACAGTGTCTTCAAGTCTGGGGAATTCAAATTGTTACGTTTATGTGCAATCAGATAACTCAGTATACCAGTTTTTATTCAACTTTAACTCACAAATGGCTTACCGAACGTTTAATTGTCCCATAATGGCAGCCGGCCCATAGCTGACCTTTTGCCCTCGGTCAACACCAGCCGACTTGCCTTTGCTTGAGCAAACAGCTTGCAAACTTCCCCACCGCCTGGAGGAAACACCGAAGAACCGACGTCCTCATCCTCAACTATACTCCTGGTTCAGGCTGTTTCTAGACAGAGTTGCGACATGAGTGCCTCAATTGTTGGAACCAAAATGGTGGCTTTTGCGTCAGTGCACATGGACAATACGGGCGTTTCAAAATAGTGTGTCTCCAATAGTCTGCAGCGCGCTGGCCAATGCGCGCAATCGCAATGCGCGAAATCTGTTGCCCGATGTGAATCGCCCGTATTAGCACAAAATAGCTACATGCTGTACTGCACCCAAAATGAACAACCATTTTGGTTCCAAAGTCTGAATTTGGCGCTGCTCTCACTATAAACATTTCGCAGAATGCATTTACCGGTAAAAAGCCTCCTTTTATTTGCTTTCCCTGCCGATTTAGTTGCTTTGAAAGAGATACTGAATCTGGATGTTAAACGTTCAGGCTTTCATTGTAACATATCAAGAATCCTTCTCTCAACCTGGACTCGAGCAAAGACTACCCTAGTAGACATGATCACAGTATGCATTTTTTCTTGGAATGCAGGTTCTTCGTGGAAACAACATCCCATTTTTATTTCAGTAAGAAACAACACGGTTTACAAAATTTTGAGAAATGCAAAATCATAATTTTTGTCGGAGCATTATGTGTACATTTCAAGATGTGCACTTTTATCAACAAAGATGAACAGGAAAATTGAAAATTATATAACGGGTTTTGCCCTTACCCAACGTATATATTGATAAACACTATATGCTCAGTGCTTGTCATAGAGCTAATGAAAAAGTTCACAAGCTTACTCGGGTGGGACTCGAACCTACAACCTCCTGCTTACTAGTGCAGACGTCTGAGCCACTCGACCACCGAGCTTGCTGGGGTCGGCTGGCTGGTCCGAGGAAAATTGAGCGTGTCAGTCATTTTCTGTCCATCCACCTTGATCGTCGAAGTATATCACGGCTTTTGTTCCTCCAGATTTGGGGGTTTAACGAAAGCAGGTCATAAAGACGATAAAAGGTAAATGGACAAAAGTACGCTCGACACAGCTCTCCGTATCAAAGTGGTAGTAAGTTCACCCAGCAGATTTTCTGAAACTGGCATTTCAAACTGAATAAAATAAAATCCCACTTCGGTCGAAACTGAACAGAATTTTTTAATTACATATGAAGGTCGAATTGATCACCACGAATACGGCATTTCATGCAAACGGTAAGTGAACTCACCAGAATAAGTAAATTCATCAAAACGACATTGATAGAAGGAAAAACCAAAACAACCAACACTTAACAAGACATGGACAGTTACAACAAGTTAAAGACCCCATTCTTTGAAAATTATCGAATACTGCTTGTAAAATCGTCTCGTTTCCAGATAGTCAGAGAGATTTTTTTTCCAGAGGGCGGCCCCGGACTCTATACCATTTTCCGGTAGTTTCCATCCAGCAACAGAGTCCTGTGGGATTTATCTGGTTGCCTTCATCAATAGCTTTGAGAGCGCCCCCTGGAAATACAACCCACGAAATCCGAGTCGGCGAAATTATAAACCTTCGACAGTGCCGCTGACTGCAACAATTATTGCGCGTTCCTTTAACATGTCTGTTAAGAAGGGGGACATGTTTTTCGTCGTCGGCAGATATTTTGAAGGAACATGATGATTCGTTCCAAATTCGGCATCAGTAGACAGACTTTTCAACAGAATATAAGACGACCAAAATTTCACAAACATTATTCAGAGCGCACTGGGTAATTTTTCAGTTTCTTGATCGACGTGGGGCCGTTCTTTCTCCTGGAAGAACAGCTTTACTGTCTGACTATCTGAACTCCTCCTTACCTCTTCCCACTTTACTTGCTGTTACTTGCACCGCAGATCTCGGCCAGGGCCGGGTCTGCGGCTCAGCTCCCTCAGACGCTGGTCCGGACACCGCCTGGACCGGGCTTCGCGTCTCAGCTTTGTCAGGCGCTAGCTCCGGTATTGCTCACCCCGCCAGTCGCGTTGGCGGTAACAGCAACGCTGTCCGAGGATCAGTCCTGTCAGGGAGACGGCTCCGGTTCCGCGGGGTTCGTGGTGCCGAAGTCCGGTCAGCATCAGCTGCCGCAGATCCGCTGCTCGGCTGGCACATTCTCGGATGTGTTCTCGGCCAGCCGGGTCCCGGATCAGCATCAGCATCAGATGTCGCGGATACCCTGGGCGCGGAGCTTACGGCAGGTACTGACGTCGTGGTGCTGTCATTTCTTCTTGTCGTATTTTTTGCCATGATGTCTACAATGTGAACCAATTAAATCCAAGTCAAATGCTGAATGACAGAAAAAAAGTTATCGTTATCATTGAACCCTCCAAACTGGTCAGCCATAAAGTGCAGCACTTTATTGGACGAGCAAGAAACAATCTTTTCTCGATCTCAACTGCTCCTCCTTTTGGACCCTTTGTACAGTTGGTCGATACCGGGGCTACACTGGCAAACATCTGTTTTGCACGTGTGTGTTTTTTTTACCTCAAGTAAAGCAATTCCGTACGCAGATCGAATTTTAAAACATTTCTCATTTTAGCTTTGCAGGCTTTCTTCAAGCCGAATTGCTCCTCAGACAACCGATTTTCACAGGTTAACATTGTATTACCGACGGCCCACATCCGACTTGAATGCAGTCTACCCGGGGATTCAATTTCGAGAGCATGCCACTCGGGCCCGGGATCTGGTTCCCGACGCCCTTCGCCTAGTTCTCTCACCTGTGCTGTTTCTTGAGATTCACTGGCTCGACCTCTGTCACGTTACCCTGGGTATGATTATCACTTGTACTAGGAGTGGATGTGACGGTGGTGTTGGCTGCTACTTCGAATTCGCCTGATGAATTCGATGTCACATTGAGCCCCTCAAAGTCGCCCTGTGCGGTTCAAAAGAACAGGCATTTTATACACAATGTCACGTTGTATGTAATGACGTCAAGGTTGAACCATTGAAAAAGGCCTTCAGTAAAACGAAATCAGATTTCTTTTATAGAAATGAAATTGCCATACCTCGATATTGAGAGTTTCATTAGAGTCTACTGTCTTGTTATCTGCCACCGTTGAGGGCGTTACAGTGGTTGCAAGGTTCACCCCCAGGGTACAGTTGCAGGGGTCGTCACCATGGTAAGTGACTCGGATCGCTCCCTCGACGTAGGGGTAGGTCAAGAAGCTGTACGGCATGCTCAGGTGATACGTCAGGAAACCGCACCTGAAGAAGTTGCGGTCAAGGTGTTAAGGCCAATGGAAGACTAATAGAATACAGAATTTGCCGATTACCTATCTAATGACGGCTGAGCTTCGCGGTTGTGGTCCTTCGCTACATCAGTTAATCGACAGTAGAGGCTTTGCGTGGTTGCCATCTTACAGGGCAGTTGTTTTGTGTCACATGGAATCCTCCTTTGTGCATACCCTGCGGAACAAAAGCACTGGCCTGCAAGATGGCAGCCATGCAAACCCTCTGCCTGGCTATGAACCAACGCTTGTACAATGTGAAGATTTCATAGTCCTTTCTGAAACTAGGCTTACCCTTTAACTTTTGAATTGGCCATCTCGGAGTCCATAGCCAACAAACTGAAAAAGAAGCACCAACTGCGACCGCATTTCGACGTTAAAGGGAGAGATTTACTGCTCTCACCTGTCATACACCAGTATATCGTCCTTTCTCCCGAACAAGGCGTTCCAGATACTGCTGAAGAAGCCTTCCTGGTACACGGGGAACGTCACGAGCTCCCTCAGCTTGTAGGCGTGGAGCCAGGCGTTCCAGGAGTTGACCACCAGGAAATTGATGTCCAGGAGGCCGTCCTGCGCTAAGCTGTGCCTCAGCGTCTCCAGCCTGCGGGAGGAAGTGGGCCGAGGGGCAAACAGCAAATAGCGGCGATTTGATTGAATTCAGGACTGAGAAAACCAGTCAGGTCGATCCGACGTGACTTGCCTGTCCAAAAACGTAATTTCAGTCTTTATTCTTATAAGACAGCTCGTACGCGTCAGGCTGGCAAGGTTGAGTGTTTTATCTCGTGGTTGTGAAGTGCTAACTTGTCGAGATGACAGTTTCCAACTATATTAGAAATCAATAAATCTTGTTAGCACGACTGTGTTCTTATGCACGGAAAGCACAAATAAAACCGAATTTTGCCGGTTCTGCATTCAGAGAACAGGAACAAATGAGCCACTGTGAAAAATACGTTCTGAAACAAAATATCGATAGTTGATTTCCTCGGGAAATTTCCAAACCAAATAGGTCTAACGCTCATCAGTGTGGACCAGGATTTTTAAGGATTACCATGTGTTTAAACCCAACTTGAAAACAACAATGGTTTTACTGAGCATGAAAACAAGATTTCGCAATATCTAATTTGTGACTTTCCAGGTATCATGCCAACAAGGGTGGTTTTCGTCGCAATACATTTCTCCTTGGGTCCTGCTTCAGCCTAGAAACCACAGCAACCGTGAGGAAATTGTTATCTTACCCGGAAGCCTGGGAGAGACAGAAGTGTCAGGAAGCTTGAAGCAGGGCCACCACTGTCACGTTCCCCCGGCCTGCCTCCATCGGGTTCACTCCCCGGGAGCTCCAGGCGGGCGGCGTGACACACCGCAGCGGCGAGGCGAAGGGGTCCACCAACACCCGGCCTGCGGCGCCGCAGGCCAGGTGGGCGACGCAGAGCAGAGCCGCCAACAACGGCGGTACCCTGCGCGCGGCCGGACCCATTATTGCAAGGGTTGGAGTCTGGTTAAGGCCTGGTGGTACAGAAGACACCAAATTAAATTTAGAAGCAACAGCTACTTCAAACAAGTACTATCCACAAGTGCACGTATGTTCGAGGCCGTCATAATATGACGAGAAATGGCTAATTTCGTCAAGAACCTGTGATTTCAGTCTTGTTATCCAAAAACCAGGTAAGTATAAAAATAAAGCAGAAAGAATTCCATCTCAGGAAGCAAAAACAACCGGCATAACGTGAAATTTTGAATATAATAAGCTGAAGTCCGCTTCGTTGATTTCACTCTAGTGAAACGACATACCGTAACGGCACACTGACTTATTTAGGCATTTATGTCTCATTTCATATGTGCAGCATTTCACGAGGACACTAGCTGCAGTGAATTTTGATTTTCTCCTAAAATGAAAAGGTGTCTAAAACAACATACCTCAGACAGGCCGAGTTTGATTCGGAAAGCTGACTTCAAGAGGAAAAAGCTCGTCTGACGCTGTTCCAAGGGACCACGGAGTATTTTTTTTGACGTAGGCCCTCAGAGCAAATCTTGAGCACAGTGCAACTTGATCTACTTATATGTAACAACCTGTCGTGCGATAGGCCATTTACAATCTACAAACACTGTTATCGTCGTGGCATGTATTTATACAATGGCCGTTTCGAGCCTCAAATTTGCACACAATGGTGTGCCTCTGCCAGGTTAGGGATCGTCTGATCACTAGGGTCAGGGTCGGGGTCAAAACCTCTGCACTCAGTACTTCGAAAACCTCGGATGCTCGATCTCTTGATATTTCCGACAACTGCATAAACAGTTACCATTGTAAAACGCTGCAGATATTGCATTAGCCGATGAGGAGTATCGAAATTAAGCGATTTAGCGTCGCATGCGTCCGGGAAAAGACCACTTGGGACCAGGGATTCAAATATATACTCAATTTTTCCCATGCAATGCGAAATCTGAGTCAAAATGGGGAACCTTGATTCCCCATTCTATTTTATATTTTCAACTGCAACTACTGAAATATATCCGATCACACCGGTTGCCCCCTTTCGAAGATCAATTTCCAGTCTGCAGAAGCCGCGTCGCCCTTGAGCACTCAAAAACGCAATGTAATACATGTATCAAGTGCGACGTGTCAGAAAGAAAGGTTGGGCCGATTTTTCAAGCTTGGATTCTGCCACCCGCATTTTTGGCGTCGAAGGAATGCTGTTGAGAGGTACACTCCTTTGACAGCTTCGAGAAAAATTCCACTTTGTTAAATCAAATTTTATTCAATCATAAATCTGCCCTGGGTAAGTCTGTACTGCAAACATCTCGCGGGCCAGAGAAGAAAACCCGTCGAACGGTCTACAGACGTGTACCAAAACTGCTTAAAACAATTTCAAGGATAGGACTTCAAAGTTAACTCCCTAACATCAAAAACAACATTAAAATATATATCCCGTGTCTTACATTCTGCCAGAAAAGTTGACCTGCGTGGGAGAAAAGTTTGGTGTGTGTAATGTATTTGAAAGCATATCAGTTTTAGCAAATATTAGACTTCTCCACACCTGACAGCAAAATCACTATGTGACGATACAACTTTTGTAGGTTATATTGTAAATATTCTGTAACATATCAACAAATATGTTGCAAATAAAACATTATATTTTACAAAGCACTGCACAGTACGGGCGATTCACAATAGTGCGCCAGCAAGAGTTTGCAACACGTTGGCCAATCATAACGCGCGAAATTTGTCGACCTTTCCAAACGCGCACTGGGTCGACAAATTTCGCGCATTGTGATTGGCCAACGCGTTGCAAACTCGTGCTGGCGCACTATTGTGAAACGAATTATTTCCTTACGAAGCTGCAACGCATTTTATACACACTTCATTGTTAATCATAATGTAAATACTGTACATAGTCACATACATTTTGACCTTTGCGTTACTACACGTTCTACAGATGTTTTTCATTTTCACGGGTGATTTAAATGTGATCGGTGTGTTCACCGTGAGTCAAAAAGCAATTCTGCAGAAGGCTTCTTCCACACACTGAAGGCAGTGATGTAGTTGAGTACTTTTTAAGACTACCAAATATTTAACTAGTTAGAAGGGAACAAAGCTGAAGTACATCGGCATTTGATGGTACATGCATAAAGGTAAGATTACAAAGCAACACAATGACTTCAGGCCATCACTGTTTGATTAAAATTAACTTTTTAGGACAAAAGTACCCGGCCGAGAACTTTCAGAGAACTTTTCTCCTCAAAACTTCAATTTTACACAACTGGGAGTGTCTGAAGTCTAACATTTATTTTGTAATCTTACCTTTGCACATTTACCATCAAATGCCTGTGCAGTCTGGCTTTATTCCCTCTTACCCAGTTCAGTATTTTGCAGAGAACGTTGGTACTCGGAAAGTACTCGATTACAACACTGACTGAAGGCCAGATTGAAACTTCTGAGGCTATACAGCGGACTCGGCCTATTAATTCACCGGTACTGCCAGCCGGCTGAATTGCCGGCCAGAGGGGAATCAGATAGACTTCCAGGTAGAATGCTTACCAGCCACAGACACGATTCCGGCTCACCAGCTAGCCTTCTTATTTACGCCTGCCGTAATAAGTCAGAGAAACAGAGATGGTGAGTTAATTTCGAGGGCCACTACCTGGCCACCTTACCGACCACCGAGAGACAGCTAGCCCGCTGGACAGCCCCATCAGCAGGCCGGTATATTCACAAAACACACAACTTTCCGGCCAACTTGACACTCCAGCCTGCCTTGGAGGCCAAAGAGGAAGCCAGCCTCTGCTTGACACGCCAGCCAGAAACCAAGAGATCCAGAATGCCGGCTGGCCAGCAAATCGGGTAGGTAAAATCCACTGGCCAGCCACTTGGCCCCCGAGACAACTGACTAGCTGACCAACAAACAACTCATCCATCAATGTGCTAGTTGGATACGAAAAGGAACTTAAACAGCAGCCAACCAGCTGGCCGACCCGCCAATCAACCAGCTACTCCGACCACCATCTATATGCAGCAAGCTGACCACTGGGCCCCACCCAAAAAAAGCCAGGCAAGCATCCGCCTCGAGCAGAAGTACCCCCTCATCGGTTGAACAGAGCCGCGTTGCTCGGGAGTATTCACGTTGCTGTAACGAAGTGACTCCAATGCTTGCGTTTCCTAGTCATTTGTGAACCAGTGATGTGCAGTTGAGCCTCCGCTGATAAGGAAAGAGCCCCTCTCTTGGTCGAGCTCGAGGCCATAGGCCTTATTAATTATCCCCTGAACCCCCCACCTTCAGGAAACAAACCAGCCAGACACAAATTCCCAAAATAATTTACAAATCGGTACCAGCATCTGTTCTAAATTAAATATATCGTTGCTTGACTAATATACAACGTACTGCATAAATATTACATTCATCACTAACCGTCATCTCTGTAAACCATTGAAAAAAGAATTGCGGGAAAGACATAAACAAATCTTAGAGTAAACAACAAGTAAACATTGCTTTTGAAAAGTTGCACATCAGTCTCTGCAGAAGAAAAAAATCTAACACTATCTGTGCCATAACAATTACAAAAGAAACTTTAAGAGGTTAACTTGATTCAATCATTGGAATTCTTCATTAACCAAACTTAAAAAGACATTTTTCCATTTAAAAAACTACTATATGTCAATCCAGAAAAATACCTCAGCTAAGATGGCACATCAAAAAAACATATTACATCTCTTACAAATGACATGAAATCCGATAAAAGGTATAAACACATACATACAAATATCAGCAAAACATGTTTTCAGTAAGAGAGTGAAGTTTGAAATAAGCGAAGTGATACAATATACAATTATTTCAAAGACGAAACACAAAGTGTCTATTTATGTACACATTTGGCACGACAATTTCTACATCCTTTCTACAGATTACTGGCAGGAGAGCCACACAAATCAAGTTGGACTATTTGAAAATTGATGCACTCTTAAATTGGTGCATTTGCTCTTTCAGATACTCACAGACACACAAATGATAAAAATAAACTTTTTGAGTTATTGCTTAACAAATTTCTGTGTTCACAGGATCCTGTTTACCAGAACCAAAATTTGGAAGCATTCAGTAGCACATTATACCGACCATACTAATGTGTCAAAAAGTCCCAATGAGTCTGGACTGCAAACATTGCGTTTGATCTTGCCGGGCGATGCAATAACATCCACTGCAATTCCGAGCTGGTGTCGTTTGGCTGGTAGCCCGCCCATGGCCATTCCTCAGGGCATATGTGGGTCTCGGGAACCAGTCGCTGCGCACTCATGGATAATGCTTGAAGTCGGCGTCAGTTTGTCTACTGTCTATCTGAAGTTGGCATAGGTCTGGTTCTCCTCCAAGTACGTATTGAGGACTTCATAACAGAACAGGTACTGGTCCTGAAAGGAGATGGAATGAATAAAGTATGTTGGGTAAGTCCATTTTTATAACTCAAATAACCTCAGAAATGTCAAGAGGTTTTCTGAGTAGGGGTGGGATCTCATCCTGCGTGATCTAATCTGGTTGACTGAGCTGGGTCAGGTTGATTGACCTGGGTCATGTTGACTACTCGATATCCTGTTGACTGACTTGGGTCATTGTTAACAGACCTGGGTCATGTTGATTGACACAGGTCATGTCGACTGACCTGGGTCATGTTGACTACTCTAGATTCTGTTAACTGACTTGGGTCATTATTGACTGACCTGGGTCATCTTGATTGAGTTTTGTCATGTTGGCAGCTCTAGATCCTGTTGACTATTAAACCTGGGTCACTGTTGACTGACTTAAGTCATGTTGACCAACCTGAGTCATCTTAACTAACCTGGCATATTTATCTCCACAATGTTTCGAAACACAGAAACAGCTCCACAGCTTTACAAGCTCCAAAAACATCTTCAGAAGCAGGCACGAAGACTGAATTCCGATCGTAGAACCCTTTTAATTAACCTGGATCACGTTTACTGACCTGGCTTTCAACCATGTTGTGCCGACTCCGTCGCAGATTCCTGACAGCGTGGAAAACATCCACAACTTTCTCCTCTTTCAGTTTCTCCAACGATGCCATCGCTGTGCAGAAAATACCGCTTCGACTAACACCATCACTGTGGGGAACAAAATCAAAAACGACTTGCACGAGATGGTTAGTCTACACACGAAGTACTCTCTATTATCTGCTGGCAGTGAAGAACAAAATGAAATGTTCTTGATCTCCTGGACTGTTTGAGGACTGTCAACTTCTAAGTTTTCCGTTTCTGTGTTAGACGGTATAAAATGTGACCATAATGTGTGTATTTCATAGTCATTTGTGACCTAGCAGAGTGCAGTTCCTATGAGCTTCCGTTGCCAGGAAAATTATGCCATCTCTTGGTCCAGCTCAGGGATCATTGCTGCAAAGAGTCCACAGATCAATCAAACGGCAATAGTCTCAGATTTTAGCCTGGTGTGATTACTCACAGGCAGTGGACAGCGATGCGTGCGTCCCCTCCAGTCTGACAGTGGCTTTGCTGGACCAGCTCCATGAAGCAGAGGAATGGGACAATGGAGGCCGGCGTCTCCTCCTCGGGACTCCACTGCAGGAACTCAAAGTGGTGGATGGTGCGAGGCTTCTCTGACTGAAAATGGAACAGGGTGGATACCTTTTTAACGGAGCAGTGCTGTAGTCGAGACCATCTCAAGGCCAGACACATGACCATGCACAAGACCACATACAAGACCAGACACAAGACCAGACTCAAGACCACTCACCAGTCACAAGTAACAGAGTGAACAATGACAAAGGAATGCTTTTGTTGCAGTTTATTTGAATAGCTTGTGACTTGAATGCAGACTGGAGGTTGTGTGTTGGTCTGCCAAAGGCCTCAGAGAGTCTTATGAAGCCCTCAAGAGGTCTCGACAACGACACCGTAACAGTGATGCAATGGGTCAGACTGGCAGAGTCAGAACTTGGTCAATTAATGTCTCCGTCATGGTTTGCTGAAAGAGCTGGCAACTTTTACTTGGGAATGGCTGACTTGTATACGACTAGAGCACAGAGCCAAAGTCAAGCCCATCATATGCTATCCATGTCCCATGTAAAGTCACAGACCTGCCTCCTACTTGCAGAGCCATGAAAGAAGGGGTTGGTACCCACCGCCTTGGTGGTGTTCTTTAGTTTGAACGTCCTGGCTATGGTGTGCTTGAAGTCCTTGCAGTCGCGGAGTTGGACCTCGAAGACGCCCAACTCGGCCGTTTCTTCTGGATCATCAATCCAGTATGGCGCGCATGTCTGTGGGCACGTACAGTCGATACGATCACGTCATTCTTACATCAAATGGAAAACTATCAATGAAATTGCTAGTCATAAGGCAATAATTGGTTTTTTAATTCTGGCTGGATCCTACTGTCATTATGTGCTGAACGAGAGCACTTTTTATCAGGCATCAGTGATTCCTATGACAACTGACACAAATGGAAAGAAAAGTAGTATCAGAAATTGACATCGCCGGCTTAAAAGATCAGTCTACAAACTCTCCAATTTGGCATCATATAGACCTAAAATATGATGTCACACTCTGCTTACACATGTGCTTTCCTATGGGGACTTGATAAATTGTGTCCCATTTCGGTGCTGTAGGAAAGCACATGTATAAACAAAGCGTGATGTCATTATGTTACAGTCTACTGAACTTTCTGACAACAACTTGCCAAACTACAAAGCCTTGAACAAAAGTTATTCAACACTAAAAACTTATTCCTGATTCTCTTCCAATGATAGACATTGATGACGCTGCATAATCGAGACATTTACATACCCTCAAAATCAACTCTGAACTGCGACCTTTTGTAAAAATTAAACACTTACAACTGATGATAAAACCTGATATTCTGTGCTACGACGATTTTGTCATTTACCTCGTCAGACCCATCTATCTGATTCAACATGACGATAACCCGTGCGTTGTAATCGTAGACCATTCTCCAGAAGTCCACCACCGTGTTTGGCAAAGGGCTCTGGGTGGCCAAGAAGCCGTCTTTCCGTTTGTATGCCTGCAAGGTAACGATCGGATCAATTGACTGACTTTCCATGTACGACGCTGGTGGTAATGATTTAATAAAGCAATTAATAAACATCACGTGGTTCAAGGATGGATGGCTGAGGGAACTACTTTGTCAACTTCCAAAAACTTGGAGAGGTTATGTCAACTATCCATCCGAAATAAATCTACTTATACTTGTTTTACAACAGACCTCGTCTATTCAATTTCAATTACAATTTCAAGCACATTTTAAAACACACTGATTGACATACATGTGTACCATCATTATTTCCTTGTCTCGCTTGGGCATTCGTACCTTACCAAGGTGCCAATTCCACAATTCAGTCACACAGTGAATGAATATAATATTTCTGAGGAAAAGTTGACTATACTTGCATATTTGACTCGTGCGTGGTTCTGGGCATACTTGCCTGATGAACAGCAATAACAGCGATTGGCACTGATCAGTGAATGGGCCAATGAGAGCTTGGCTCTCGATCATGAATATGTATGAAGGATGATAAGTATGTACGCAGTATGCATCAGACACAGGCTGCAAGCTGAGCACAGCTGGACACTTACATCAATGAACGACGCGTTGATGTAGTTTGTACTGCCTCCCTCTCCTGGTGACATGAGGTAGGGCCGACTCTTGTCAACTGTAAAGGGACATGATTTGGTAAGTCTGAGGAGCTACGAACCAAATGACTGCAGTAAGGTCTCTTATACAAGAAGCTTGACGTGGAGGTTGGTTCGTGATCCGCACAAACACAGACTTGTGATGTACTGTCAGCATTCTTACTGTGAATCTGGAAAAATTTAACATCCTTTCCTGCTGGCAAATTTCTTTGTGAATGTTTTGTAATGCTGTGTGTACCTCACTTTCGCAAACACTTTTAGTACCAGAACGCTTGTCAACCTGACTGCTCTCAGACTTCTGTCGTTGTGTATAGTGAATTTCTCTTAGGGGTTAATACATATTGACTTGTGCTCATTCCGTTGAAATTGGTCACACGTAGTATGTACCATTACCTGCTCCCAGTGCGTGCTACAGTGCACACATACTGAGAGCCATAGGCTATACCTCCTGCGTGTATTCTACTTATGTAAGGGCTTGAGGCATAGGCCACCATTACTTCTCCCTCTGGGGTGGGCTGTGGACAGCGCCCTCTGTAGTTATCATACCTATATCCGGATACTGGTTGTGCGGTGATACTCACGAGGGATGCAGTCGTGGAACCGGTTCTTGTCCTGGTTCAGCTCGTTCCTCCCGCCATAGCAGTTGTCCTCGCTCGGAGCTACAGACATCGTGTCCAAGACCTAACAGATGTATGAGACAGGCAGCCGTAAGCCGACTATCGACTACACCACAGAAGACAGTGTTTGTCAAAAGAGATATTACACGTGAAGAGGACTGTCGAACAAAGATTAGCATTTGAGCACAATCAACTAATTTTGGAGACCCTCTAAATAAACTTGACAAATTTAAAAAGAATTTGAAGCCATCACTGGGTTAATCCCACACTTGCCTATGATAAGCATCGTGTGCTAAATCCCCCCCCCACCATTGATGAGGTGTCTACAACTTGTCAATATACACATGCTTTGAGGATTCTTGTGGCAAGCACATAAGCCTGGTGCCTCTTGCAGCAATGGCGTCTCTCAAGGCTAGTTTACAAGTTCCAAGTCCCACATTTGGCGATAACTCGAAGGTTCCTCTTTCCCAACGAAACAGGTTACATGTTTGGACTGATACCACACAGCTATATCAAATCACTGGTGTTAACTCCTCATTTCCCACGTGGAGACACTTCAACGCCATCCTGGGTGCAGACTTTTTAAATTTGTGTGCATGTTTGAATGCAATGAGATGGAACGAATTCCAGATAATGTACTCTGTATGCAACATGTCCATGTAACGTAAGCAGACAACACATCAGTGCATTTTTCACGTGGTATCCTGTCTTTACGTTGAGATCAGTGGCTGGTACTCACACGCAAGTGTTCCTGCACGTAGGAGTTACTGGTGAGCGGGTTGCTGTCCCGCAGCGCTGCGTACTGAACAGGGAAGGTGGAGAGACTCATCACCGTGTCTCCACATAGCAGTGTCTCCAACAACACCTCAAAGATGAACATGTACTGGTCCTGAATGGAAGCAAAAAAATGAATGCCAAGTCTTTTCTCACCAACTCCAAGAATAACAGCGCTTTCAAACTCCACAAGGAAGGTTTGGAGGACTTTGAAGAACTCCAAAAAGCAGGGTCTACTTACAGTGACTTTAAAAGGGGGCTAATGCCCCTTGTAAGTTTGAGTAGTGGGAATGTGCCACAGGTGGAATGCAAAGTGGGAGGCACTGACAGGTTGAGGAATGCTCTTAGCTATTAAACGTGTGCATGAAGTTGGCATTAAACCAAATAATACCCTGTTCTGCACCCTCAGCCCAGAATCAAGAATTGTATCAATGGGCAACACCCCCATGGTGAAATGGAATCTACTCCTCATCTCAGGTAATCACAAAAGACAAACAATGACCTACCTGTGTCTGCACCATTTTGGGTCTCTTCTTTCTCATCTCGTAGACGAAATCAATGACGTTGATCTGTTTCTCCTCGGCCACCATGTTCAGCATTGCGTCCACGGTGATAAAGGTCCCTGTACGACCCACACCGGCACTGTCATTATGGAAATAAATAAGGATACCATCATAACACAGTAAATGCCCAATACAAGTAAACAAACGCTCTAGTCAAATGATTCTCTAAAATCTCGTCACTTGCATTTTAGCACTGGGCGCAACTCTCGCAGCATTCACAGACAATGAGATTTTGTGCAATTATTTTCACATGCGTGGTTCCCCCCCCGGAACTGATATAAAAATGCCAACTGATAACTGGCAGTGTGGCCATCCACCAGGGCCTGATACCAAATGGACAGATGGAAGGTCCCTCATTTTGGTGACTTGGGTCACACCGTGGTCAACTATAATCATCGCTCGAACCTGCTCCTATTTAAGTGTTTTCATGTGAATGGTTCCCTCCACAACTGAGAGATGAAAACGAGTATTGATGACTGGCAGTGCAACCATGCCCCAGTGGCCTGGTTCCAAATGGTCGACCAGATGGGTCATCATTTAGGTGGCACTGGTCGAACGATGGTTGTCTATAGCCATCGCTCGAACCCACCCCTACTTGAGCGCTTACTGCCATACCTGCAGTGGACTACCATTGGTCCCATGTTGTTCTCCTCCATCTGCTTGACTTCGTGGATGAAGTTCATCAGGGGTGCGGGGGAATCTGGTAGGCCCATGTCTGGCCAGGAAGTGTAGTGGAACTGCCTGACCTCTCGCGGTATGTCTTCCTCAATCTGATACACGAAAAACGACGCAACTTTGCATCAGAAATCAGTAATTCATAAGCTAAAAGGATCCATTGGGATAAGGCTTTTTTTAGATGGAATTCTGCAATGAACTTTAGTGTCCATCTTTGTCTTGTCAAGTCTAGTGCTGAGAGTGTTTCTGGTCCTTTTGGGGTTTTGCTCCAACAAGAATTTCCATATTCATGAGCTAAACAGCAATGTCACCTTCAGGCAGAACATTCAGAGCAACAGACATCTTGGCAACAAACTTCTTCGCCAGAGTTTAGAGGTTTTCCCTGAGACCATTTCTGTTCTGTTTTTTTTTGCTGAATCAGTACATAAAAGCCAGCAAATCAGTGATTATAAAGTGATAATAAAGCGGCATACTCCTAATATGGTAAAAAATGACTCACATCAAAGTTTGAGATGACGAAGACTCTCTCAGTGAAGTCTTGCTCAACTCTCTCCTTGACTTTCTTGACTATGATGCTGTTGTAGTCCAACTGGTTGTCGGGCCAGTACTGGGCACATTTTTTCTGTTTTTCAAAAGCAGTGACAGAGAAAGGAATGGCAGAGGACTCAATCTTCCTTCGGGTGTTTGAAGATTACAGTTAACAGGATTGCCATGCCGAGACGAAAAATCAACCGTTACCTTTGCATTTTCGACGAGGTTAGTCAGCATGACAATGATGGCCACTTCCTGTTGCCATACCATCCGCCAAAAATCAGGGGTAGAATATTTATTGTGACCTAAAAAAAAATGCAAGGTATGTTATGAGGGTGTTATTCCAATGTTCCTGAATTTTATTTGTCCAAGGTGATGGATTTAAAGAAAGTTGGGATAAAAATTGTGACTTTCTGGGCAGGGCAGAGGGAGTCGCCGGCTGTACTACCCACAAGGGTATAAGATGGACCGCTCAACATGCTTACACAATATTGATGGTCCAGTGGATAAGAAAGACATCTGTACAAGTAAGCAGGAGGTTGCACATTCAAGCCCCATCTATGCGAGCTTGTTGACTTGTTTTACGCGAGTTCTAGGCCAGCACTACCCAGACAAAGTACAGTGTTGAAGCCAAGTCCATCACAAGTCAAGTGGTCTCAAGCCAAGTCACGAGCCATTCAAATGAACTGTGGCAAAAGCATTCCTTTGTCTTTATGACTTGCGAAGGGACTTTTGAGAGACTTTACAATAACACAAAGTAAAACCATTCCATGCGTTCTGTCACCAACTGTGCCTGATCCTTTGACTACTTTTAGAAGCCTGTCTCACCTTGTGTTGCGATGTATGCGTTCTTCTTTCGGTAACCCTGAATGTAATGAAGCGAAAAGAGAGTTGCGGTTCAACAACATCATCAAGCGCTATGAAACAGTCACTGTGATTCATACTGCAATCTGTGAATGAGTGCTTCTACACACTACTGATAAACTATTGATATTTGACATCTATTAAGATTACACCTGAATTCGATAAAAAACATCTTTTTAATACACGCCATACAGAAAGCAACAAAATCTGGGCATAATTTGACATCAGGTCAGTGAAGAAGTTTGAAAAGATGAGGATTTCATCGTCACCGCAACAAGAGTCACAAAACTCCTGACCCAGAAAAGCCTTCTATAGCTCATACCAGTAGGGCATATGTTCAGATGTCAAGGGTGAGCAGGTTCATGTATGAAATGAAAAACTACATGCGGACAGAATTCAACACAGGAAAGTATTTCAGACCAGGATCTGCATGTACAACAACCCTGAAAATAAATGTTGGCTGCATAATTACGTCAACATAGGAAGCGTTGATGTAGTCTGTGTCTGGATCGTCGTTGATTGGATCTAGGACCACTCGTGAGTAGTCGTCTGGAAGAAAAAAGACAAACAGAATGTCAAGTTTAAAAATGAATTGGTGTATAATCGGAATTGGCCAAACTTTTTCCAGTTGGATTTTTGAAATTCCAATAATTCCAACTCCATATTCCTGATAGTCGCCCTTGACTGCGAATGTTGGAACCAAACCAAAACACTCCATTTTTCAGGACCTCAAATTAAACAACCTAATGTTTCTACGGCAACAATAGGGAGCCAAAGTTGGGGGGGGGAGAAACTCATTAGGTAAAAGCTTGAAGGAAAAGACAGTGATAAAAACCCAGATTTGACCCCTCCCAGGAAGTGAAACAATGACTGTCAGACTAAACGGCCTTGACTCACACGGAATGATATTGGCGTATCTGTTCTTGTTTTTGTTGACATCTCTCTGGGCAACATTGCAGGAATACAGCTCCTCATCAGGGAAGCTCTGAAAAAAGACGCAGGATTCAAGATTATCAACACAAGATAAGGCAAGTTCAATCAATGACTAGTAGTTAACTAATGGTTGGTTGATGTGATGTACCTAGCACATGTGCAGTGAAGGTGAAGTCAACCACCGTCAGGTCGTTAGGCCGAGAGGTGAAACGGTGGCCGCAGGAAGGGTAAAATAGCAAAAATAAAAGTAAAAATGGCCGTTTACAACTGACATACTGGTTTTCCAGTATTGTTCGTATAACGGGTCCTACCTGCTCTGTGCTATTATAAATGGTTTATGGCAACCAACAACGCGCCGTACCTCAATAAGCTGGTCGCGAATGGTTGACGAGACTAGTCCAACCATCATCGACGATGCGTACAATCAGAGTGACCATGCGTACGATCAGAACTAGTCAAACTATGGTTAACTAAGGTCCTTGACCGAACTTGCCCATGGTGACAAGATCCCACACAATGTGAGCCTCCTTCTTTTCGGTAATTTTGTTATTGTTTGGATTAGAAAGAGCACCCGCCGCTCTCAGTCTTGAGACAGCACTCAGCTTGGCGTCCGGATGAGAATGAACATCTTTGTGGGTGAAAAACTTTTGAGTTTCCTTTGGATTTATATGGCAAGGGTCTCTTTGAGGTCCTCAATTCTGGTGATGTTTGGCTCAAATGTTTCGCACAGAATTTATTCAACTGTTGTAGAAGCATGTGTGAGACATCTGCAGAGAAACACAGGATGGCACAGCATCGAAAATTAACATGCAAGTGTATCTGAAACCAAACACACAGGGTAAACCCAAAGCTAATGTTTCAAGGATCGAAGGAAGGTGCAAGCCTTCTTACCGCGTAGTCTCTGACGAAGCCCTTGTTGCTGTTGGCTTTCTTCCTTTTGACGTACTGGGGCAGGTCCTGCAAGCCGACCGCTTTGTGGGGCTTCCAGGCCTTCCTGGGCAGGGCTCCCTGCACTGGCTTGGGGGCGGGCGTGGTCGACTGGCCCTTGACGCCACCCGAGCGCCTCAGTTGCGAGCGGACGATCTCTTCTGCCACCGCTTGGTTCTGGAGCCCGTTGGAGCGCGACTCGGCTTTCTCTGTGAACAGTGGAGCACACAGAGTTCACATCGAGCCAATCACATGACAAATTTGCAAAGTCCACATTGATTCAGATTGCAAGTCTGGGGTCGATTTCTTGGAAATGCTACTCGCTCAAATATGCTGAGCACCAAAACTATCTGCTCAGCAAAAACTGGTTACCGCATAACGGTCATGACTGGTTCTCTCCAAAGTTCTGCATAGCATGTAAATTTGATCAGCAAACTTTTTCAATTACCAGCTCTATAAAAGTGGGTCCACATCACAAGCTGAACAATGACAATTAATGCCTGCTCCCATTTTATTCCGTTGTCGTTGTTTTCCGCAATTTTTCAACATTTCCTGAAAGTTTCAACTTTCACTCTAAGGCTATTTTCCATTATCACCTCCGAACCCCCACGTTCTTGAGCAGTTTCCTATTTTTATCCCATGAACTGTCCGAAAATGTAGAGAAATGCAGTGGACAAGAATTCTCAAAGGAAAACCTTCTGTTCCCCACCCCCAAACAAAAATCCTAAATCCTATTTCAGTTAACACAATACTGAACTTACCCATGTCAGAGAGGACCATTCCATTAGTTCCAGGGGCTGACTTTGCAGAATTTCGCCTTCACAGAAATAGACAACAATGGATTTCAAATCAAAAGCCGGCGACTTAGTCTCACTGTGGGCCCTGTGCCCAACCGACCTATCAAGCCCCATCCACTCTTTTAAACGATAGGTTTTACGGGCATAAATTCATTCTAACTTTTGTCTGAGCGACTCGGTTCTCTATTTCAAAAGAAAAAACCTGTCCCTTCAACGAGAGGCTTGCCATAACACAAAATTGTTCCACGACTGTGGGAAGAAGAGCTGTCGAAGGACAGTTATCATTATAGGGAGATATTCTTATTGGGGACAAGATAAAGTCCCCTACAGTCGGGACTAAAAATTTCCTGACAGGTTGGGGGGTCAGATTGGTGTAGGGATTCTTTCCTCACCTTTCACCTCTGTGGTCCTGGGTTCGATTCCCAGCCCAGTCTACATGTGGATTGAGTTTTCAGTCCCTGCCTGATTTCATGGGTTTTACCCAGAATATTCTTCTGGGGTTTTCGTCCCACCTCTATAACTGTGACTGCTTCTTGTTGTCTCCTCTCTACAGGTTTCTTCAGGCTTTCGAGCTACAGTGCCTGGGGAACTTTCGAAGAATCCTTGATTTCATTACCAGAAAGACTTGAATGAACAAATGAACGTGTTCTCCCAATGTAGTACCGGCCAGGGTACCACCTTGCTGCTCCAAAGTGCTTTAATAGTCAACATGCTGCCTTGCTACCCGAATTCGGTTCCTCCAACAAGGCCTTTCTTAAATTTCACTGCATTTTGGAACCTCAGCAAACTATTTAACTTCATACGACACAACAATGGAGGGTCACACCTTTTGCGGATGACTACCACGGCAGCAACCACCAAAGCTACCACGACCAGGACAGCGATGATAGCACCCAGGATCGAACTCATCGGAAAAGAGCCCACGGGGTTTGCTGTCAGAGCAAATAAAAATGCACGTAGCATTAGAGGCTGACGGAGAAAGAAAAGGCTTGGGCTAACGTTTACGCTGCGACTTTTATGTGACGGAGACCCTGACAAGTTCTTATCCAGAGCCTGAATACAGAGGCCAGAAGAACCTAATTATCCGGTTTGTAAGTGATTTCATCACCAAAGCGGGTCCGCCACGATTTGCAGGCATTCCAGTTCCATGGTTCCATGTAAGCGGCGATCTATGCATGTAACTCTATGTGCAGTGCATGTGCAGTGGGTGTGGTTTAAACTGAATAGACAATACACTTATGAACCAGATACGTTAAGGCCTGATATCAGCCCAATATCATGGATGAAAAAAGCCTGACTGAAAATTGGCATCCCTGTAATCCAAATAATTAATTCAGGTAATTTTCTGTTGGGGAGAGAAAAATTCATCTAAATGTTTGGTTCACTGCCAAAAATTACCTTTAAAAATCTTCAAATCTACCACTGGAGTTCTTTTGAACAATTTTGCAGGATTGAAAAAAACAGTGCCAATGCTTCCTTACTTTACACAGTGCTTGATGCTCCTTGACAGTTCTATCGTGGTACAAAGAACAGTGGTGGAATTTTGAGGATTCGGGCAGGTTCCAAACAAAAATACCACCTTTAAGCTATTGTCAAGTTCCCACCTTACACAACTTTAAATTCATTAAAACTAAAAACCCACATTATTTGGAGGATTTGCTCAGGAAATGTTCAAAACCAAAACAAAACTCAGACAAAACTTTTAGACTTCTAATGTCGAGTTTCAGCAGGGGCAGGACAATGTGCACGAAACAACACTTTAATTACTGTAAACTAACAAAAGAAGACAGAGACAGACTTACTTGTGACGGCCATCGGGTCACTGCAACCAGTCCGAGTATCCTGACAGGTTGAAAAACCACACAAAAAGTGGAGATTGTGAACGGGTCAATCATAGGTCATATCAAGGTTCAGCGGATCATGTGAGTGCCTAGGGACTTGACGTTTATTAGGCGGGATGGTTTGTTTGGCTCGTGATGATGTTTTTGCAATTTCAGCAACTACAAATCACTACCTTACATGTACCAACCATACTAACTAACAAATGTATCTTTGTTTTATGAGGCCTTCAATAAAGTACAGCACTTAGCCTTAATAGTGGATATATTTTTTTTTCAGTTATCCACTCAGTCTCTTTCATAGCCAGTTAACGTCGGATATTCTTAATCAAAAAGCTGCCCAGGCGTTTTTTTTTCCCCTTCAATTTTTTCGAAATTGCAATTTATTTATGACGCAACCAATCACGACACATAAATACGTCCACCGCAGACATGAAAAAAGAAGTCTTAAAAGAGCGTAAACGTCCTCCGTGGAACAAATAAGGAAAAGTGTGTGTGTGTGTTTACAGGCCATCCGGTGTCAAGTGGCTAAAGAATGTAACAACGGACTGCAACCGCCTTGCAGACAATTGTCATCATTTTGGCCCCTGTTTTTATTGTTTGCATCTGAGGTGACTATGTAACACTAGCCCAGAAAATAGCAACTTTGTACAAGCCTGAATAGCTTTGAGCACATTGTGAGTGCTGATAGCATGGAATCTATCTTACCTGTTTAGTTCTGCCGACGCCGCAGAACTGGATGTTATACTGGGTGTCCGGCTGCAGCGCCGCGTTGAAGTACCTGCCGTAGGTTCTGTTGTCGCCAACTCTAAACGTGTCCGGGAGGGCGGTCTTGTCAAACTCCGCTGCGACGTAGTTATTGGGGGAGTCCCTGTAATTACCTGGGCTCTCCGCACTGCGCTTACGGCTGGCCTGCAACTTAGCGACTGTGACTTGATACACACTAGGGGAGGGGGGAGGGAAAAAGTGGCTTACTTTTGATATTAAACTCTGCCTTTCTGGAAAGGTTAGGATAACGAGAGCATTGGGCCCGAGGTTCTAGTCGCAGATTTTAAAGAACGCGGATTGGAACAGCAGTTGCTTGTCAGTCTTTTAATAGGCACATGTGCTATTTCCTGCTGAACACGTTGGAATTGGCTCAACTTTGTGAGGTTTTAAGAATGACAGTACACATGAATAGGGTCAGGTCTCCGGCCTACACAACTTCAAGAAAAATTGAGGAATCTGCCTGGCCTCATTCACCAATCCGGCAAAGTCGCGGTCTGTATAGCTTCATAAGCTCTCTGGACAATGCCTGTCCTTAAACCTAAGAATCAGGTCACATCTCCAGTTGGAAGTTACGATGAAGTTGGAGGAGAAATATTGATCGATAATCTTCAAGTGAGTGAAATGCATCAATGGTCATTTTGTTGTCACACCAGAGGGGGGTTGAAATTTCATGCGTTCCCAAAGTCTTACATCTTTATAAAATGTACCAATTTCAAAATTTTTCATGGTTACCTGATATATTTGGAATCAATTGGTTTCAGTTGTAATGTGACTGTGTTATCGTCTCCGACGGTCGGAGGTTCGGTTCGTTCAGGCGAGTTGATGGCTACCAGGAAGGTGAAAACACAAAAAGACGTTTTTGTAAATTAAGTATTTGCAGTTGGATAACAATGAACGCATCACGCTCTTCTGTGGACTCAGGTTGGTAACTTTAGAATGATGCTTACCTGGAATCAAGGTGTAAACAGACGGCAGCGTGGCATCGTCTCCAAATTCCACCGTCTTGGCTGCCACTCTGACTTCATACCCTGTGGCACTCTCCAGGTTTCCTATTTGGTGTCGAGTAATGTCCTTGTTTACCATGATCTGCTGGACCACTTGAGAACCTGGGGCATCGCCAGATGAGGGCTCGAACGGTTGGTCGACGATTCTGTATTCGATCTGGGCAGATAACATATGACCCGACAGACAGACATGAGTCTCAAATCGCCAAACCTGCTAATGACTTACATGTCTTTCGAGAAATCATGAGTAGCTGTTTAAGCTCCCGCCACTTGTGAGAGGCAAATTAAATCATAGAGCTAAGAAACTTCATTGTCTGAATGGATAAAATGAACCAGTAAAACATACCTGACCATATTTAACTCGGAATTAGGAGTGCCTATATTACAAGCCCATAGCAAAGCAAACAGCTGTGCCGAAGAAGCAATTTACATGGATGTATGTGTAACAACTGTCACACTAACATAGCATCTAGTGCCCTTTTTCTGGAAATGGCGCCCTCTTTTGCCAAAACTTATTAGATTTTTTTTCTTTTTATGGAAATTAGAGCGGTTTGAATTTTTTGCAGTCTGACAAATCACAAAATTGGACAGGTCCGATTATTAAACTCAGAATGGTTCCAGGTACGGTGTAAGAAAATTACTTAGACTCACATTTCCGCATCTGTTTACAGTATTTAATGCCAAGACCCATTTGGTTATTAAAAGATCGGAACGTGACGGGCAGAGAACACTGGCAGGATGGGAAAAAAAGCAGCCAATCGTTACAGGGCCATTTCTGCATTCAACTTCAACTGTCACATACGTGATCCACCATTTCGAAACCAGGTTGAAATATGTAAGTTTGATTTTTGACATCTCCCCCCCAACTGTTGATTTTTCATATTTCAACGCGATTCAATGTAAAAATTTTTTGTACAGGAAGTGTAGCTTACAGGCAATACAACTTGTGGAATTTGCCCTGTTCACATTTATCTATAAATAGGCCATCATTTCTAGTTTGTTTCAATTCTTCTTGGGAAACATGAATTAAAGCATACAATGTTCGGGGGAAAAAATCACATCACTGAAGCACGCGAACCAAAATATTAAAACCGATGGACAAGTTACTTTGTATTCTTTCAAGACGCCGTTGATGTTTTCGGGTTCCTCCCAAGCCACAGTGATCGCATCTGCGGTCCGCTCTAACACCATCACCCTGGCTGGCATCTCTGGAGCTGTGGAGACGGAATGAGGAACGTCGTCAACCAGTAAAATGTTACTATGCATCAAAGCTAGTTCCTTCCTTTTCTGAAGTCTTCAATGAAAAATTTCGAGTGAGGGATTGCACCCCCCCCCCATCAGAGAAGAAAGACAAAGACCAATGGTTTATCTCCATATTTTCCTCATTTTCTAACCCTCCAGTTCCTGTGTAAATCACAAAGACTGTACTCACTCCCTTCGGCTGTTCGTTGAGTGATAGTCTCGCTAAACTCGCCATGTCCTGCCCCAGTTTTTGCCCGAATCTGCAAGCATTTTGTAAAAAGATTACCTCTGAATAAATTTCTCACAAAGACTGAATGGGGTGTTGCATTTTGTTCCTGAAAATGTTTCTTAAGTGGTGAAGTAGTGTCTACAACTTGCAAAAAGAGTTATTTACTGGGAAATATGACCTGATTACAAATGTGCATAAAATGAGACTAGGGTGTACAAACCTTGATGTCATATTCAGTATATGGCTTAAGATCTGTGATGGTGTAACGATGTACAGGATTGGTTGGATCCATTAAGGGTCCCCTAGTGACTGCTGCTGTCTCATCCAATGAACTGGGCCAATACAGGATCTGATAGGCTGATATGATTCCAGAGGGTGGATGTGGAGGGTTCCATTCCAGCTCAAGAAAGGTCCTCTCTGCATTTGAAACTCGGAAGTTTCTTGGCGGGGGTGGTTCTAAGAAGTTTATTAAACCAATGAAAAAATGTGAGTAAAGCAACAGTTTTCATTGCCAAACTTTTGCTCATATTAAGCAATTACATGCTGTTTCTAAAAAGTTGATTTCTCCGATTGTATAAACATAGTTTGAAAAGAAAAAAGAACAGATCTTTGACATTGTTTTTCTCCAATTGTTTTTATGTCCCCTCCAAATTTAAGGAACAGAAGATGGCTCGTTTTTGCAAGCCAGCGACAGCCCTTTCTTGGAAACCCAAAGTAAGTGTGCACGCGCTCGTGTGAGTTTGATGCCAAATGTGCTGAGTGCAGGTGACCTATTTTCTTTGGAATGTACGGTCTTTAAGTGTGTGCCAGGTGCGTGAGTGATGAGCCAGGTTCAGACACTACCCACCAGCCTGTCTCCTCTTGCCGGTCAGCCTGGGGTGCAACTTGAGGCACAATATTTTTGTATCACACAACAGGCTGGGGATACACCATGAACTTTCCTATGGGAAAATGGTTTTATTGTCAGTCTTGAGAGGAGACTAGTCATCACACCTCGTTGAAGCTTTCCCTGTTGAAATGTTGCACTGTACTTCCCTTTGAAATAAATCCTTAAGAGCAACTATCCTAGCTTTTATTCAAGTCTGGTTACATAAAAAAAGACTGCACTCGGGGTAAAAAGTCAATCTACCTCCTTCTTCTGTTCTGACGAAAAGATGGCCATCTGGGCCAGGGCCGACTGCTGTGTTTGCTTGTACATAGAAGTGGTATTCCACATAGGGCACCAGACCGCTGAGCAGGACCTCAGTTATCAAGACATGGCCGCTAGCCTTGGTCTGGTTGCTCCTCTCGTCAAGGAGCGTGTAGTTGTAACCAGTGATGAGGCCATTCTGTTGACCGCAGTGCGGAGGTTTCCAGTGAAAGCGGATTTCCTGGGTACCAATCAGGCTTGTCGAGATGTTTTCCGGGGGACCCGTGGGAACTAGTTTGAAGAAAAACAAACATCGCTATGTGACCTGATCCTGCACAGCAAGTCTGTAGGCCTTTTTTTCCCTGAAAACTGGTTGCATTAGAAAGAGCAAACTGAACTCCTTGTTTAGACGCATCAGTTGGGAATCCTGATAAAAATGGACATTATGCAGGCCCAAAATGTTCAAGATTCCTGTTGTTTTTTTATGGCTAGGTTATTTTGCTAGGTTTTTTTAGAGGCCTTTGGCTCTAGTGACTTGAAACTCATTTCGTTAGGGTACCTCACGTGCAAATGATTCCAATGAAAATATCAGTCAGATACAACAATGCAAGGGGGCTGCAGCCGTGGCAGATATGAGCATTGAACAAACAAATCACAGTTTAATTCAAGTCATATCCTATCAGGGTTAGAAACAGAATTACAGGTTGCAGGGAATGAAGGAAGACAAGGGAATGCCATCGTCAAAAGTTTGATTGAAAACCTAGACATCTGAAACTTGACATTTTAAAACCTTGAAATCAGACTAGATTTGCAGTGTAACTTGTGACTGACTTGTGTGACGGTGTAGTCCCCAAATCATGGACCTGCTGAGCCAGAAGCACACTGCAACAAATTTAACAGGTGATGAGCTGTGAACCACTTTGCAAGAAGCATCAGTATTGCATGCAAGTTTAGCTGGTAACCTGCCTTTGCTATTAAAAGTTTTGGTTCAAGTGAAAACACTGTGAAAATGCAGTGAGCCCATCCAGGCTACCGGGGAGTCCTCCTTATTCTATTTGTGATTAAGTTAATCCTTGGAAAAGTGAAAATGTCGTGAAACTGTCACGAGTTAGTCCTCTGCCCAGCTGACCTACTTTCCACTGTGAAAAGGAGCTTACATTACCTTGGGAAAAAAAATGAACATGAATTTAATTAACAGTGAAACAGCATTTTCACAGTGTTTAAAGTTCACAGAGAGTGCTGTCAAAGGTCCATGCAGTAAGCATGATGGGTATTTCCTTATGGCAAACGTCATCTTGACAGTTCCAATGAACAGCTTAAGTCAACAGGGACTAACCGTCTTCCGAAGTCTCCAGGAGAGCGAAGACTTCTCGGCCAAGTCCGGCGGCTGTCTCTCCCCTCACAGAGACGTTGTGCTGCGAGTACGCCTGCAGCCCTCTCAACACAGCACTCAGGGTCTTTACACTGATGAACGTCCAATTGTTACTGCTGGTGTTGAGGCTACACTCCTCCAGGGACCAAGCAAGGTACCCCACCTGGTACGTGCTGACAGTACAGACGTCTAGCGGGGATGGCTGCCACGACGCTTGGATCTGGGTCGCTGGGTCATCGCCATGGCGCAGGGTGAGATTCTGCACCTGCTCTGGCACTGCATGAAAAGATATACAGAAAGGATTATTTCAGACAGGCACGGTACATTACATTTGTCCTAGGTCTGAGTATACAACCTATTCAACCACAGCAAGAAGACATCCAAACTGTATGCAGTCTAACTGTCCCTTGGTGTTAACCCCTTCGTGCCGGGATTCTTTTGACCTTGACTGCTGGGCTGTGGTATGCCCTGAATGGAGGGCTTTGTTAATCAGCAGGCCCCACTGAACCAGCAGCTGCATGGTGAATAGACTGTATGTGTGGTATGTACTAATCCTCACACAAAGCCGGGGCTCTTGCTGTTTCCGGCAGCGAAGGGGTTGAGCCTACCGGTACGGCATCTATGGTGGTCCAATTTTGTCGGCTCTTAGGCATTTTTCACCATTAACTATCGCAGGGTACATATAAATTGCATCTGTTCTCATACAAATCAATTAAATCAAATAAATCCGGAGCAGTCTGGGATGGTACAGGAATAAAACAGGCAGGGTGGTTTGGGACAGTGCAGAAGATTTGGAGAACTGGAGCCAACAATCCACAACAGGTGTGCATTTCTTCAGAAAAGGCCAACATCAAATGAATGTAAGAAGAAAGACTTTTTCCACTTACAAGCTGTGCTGGTAACTGCTATTTCCCATTTCGACCAGTAACCGCGGGATGTCTTTCCGACGGCGCGCACTCGAAACTGGTACTCTGTGCAGGAATCAAGGTGGCTGATTAAAGCAAACAATTGTGTTTCTCCAACACGGCTGAAACTATCATCGTCGCTGCTATCCTCAGGTCTCCTGACCTCGTACTCGTAGCCATTGATTTTGTCATGTCGTGCTTCACACTCTAGCTCGTTCCAAGCAAACTGAAGGAAGTCCTTGGAGGAATTGACCAATCGGACACCCGTGACCTGGTCAGGAACTGTTTTTGAGGAAACAAGTAGCCAATGTGAACAAGCAGTACGACAGAAGAAAAACTCAAGTTTAGTGATTAAACTGGATTTGCGGCTGTGATTCCGTCAGTGTCAGATCAGTCAACCCTCAGCAGAAAGTAACCCGACCTGCTCCATTCCACTGAATATCAGCACCTTTTAGCCGTATAGAAATACTTGTAAGCAGACTTTCTATAGCTGTGTCAAAGTTTTTATACATAAAATACACACCTCAATTCTAGTTCAAAGGGAGATGTGAGACCAATAAACAAAAGGATGGTGCAGAGAGCTTCAACACTTTCCTTTGTTACATTATGTGCTGAAGTTCATTTTCTCAGAACTTCAGTTTAATTTGTAATCTCTCCAGTTTCTTACTGAAAGATACTAAAGCCGCATGGAATTACTTCAAGATGCTATGCAATATTCAGACTTGTTAAAAGAGTAAAAATTATCACACTCTTACTTCAAAAAATTCTCACTATGGAATGCTCCAACTCGATTAAGGTTCCAGGTAAAACATGCTTTGATGCTGATCAATAAAACAAAACTCATAACCTCTAAACTTAGTTTCAAGAAGGCTCCCTGAGTAAAGAAACTCACCACTAGAATTTGTGTCAAATCGCAATTCGTCAGACACCTCTCCATATCCTCCCTCAGTCAGTGCTGCCAATGACAGCCTGTAGACGGAGAACGGCTGCAGAGGAGTCAAGTCTAGCTGTGTGTTGCTGGTATTCACTGTCAAACCCTCGTCCACCTCTTTTGTCGGACAAGCTCTGAGCTTCTTGAGATAATATCTCACTGTGTACAGCTGAACGGCACAAGGGTTGTCAGAAGCAACAGGAGACGACCACGAAACACGAGCAAAGGTGGAAGCTTTAGAGCTGACCACTGGAGGTCCAACTTTTCCAGGTGCTACAGAAGAAGAAAGTTCAAAGTGTGGTAAAACAAAACCCTGCCCATTACATCTTCGATCTTCATTACGCTGCCTGCTTTAAAATGTTTCATGCATAGTAAGTGAGTTTAGTATTCAGACAATGGGCATGCGTGCACAGTTCTGAGCACATGCTCTGAGCATGCACACAAACTGTGGAAAAGGACCGGTTTTTGTCAACCACCACCAAGCGTCTCAAAGTCTCTCAGTCAAGAACAGCACTACATATGTGCCAGGTTCGGCCTATAAACAAAGCCATGAGGCCAACTCTCACAAAATGAACAGGTACAAACATTTTGAATGAGCTTGCCCTTTTTAATATCACCCAAATTGCTGATACCAAGTATTTCTGCCTTTAGAACACAACACAAACGTTTTACAAACTGTCTAATGGATTAAAAACAGTAAACTCCTCAAAGGGCCAATGGGGAACTGGCAGTTGGTTCAGAGTGGCTGGCTAAATAGTTTGCGTTCGAGTGTACCCGACGCTCCAAAGGTACCTATGAATGGACAGCTTATTCTCATCAAATTACACGGTCTCATATTAGTCCGTTGGGCAATTATTCGTACAATTCTTTATAGCTGGGACTGTGGCTGTCAGGGTAACGTGAGGCTTGTAACCCTGACCACTGGGACAAACAATGCTTGTCTTCTTATGACTTATGACTCTACCCACTTGAGTGTCTCATTTTATCAAAGAACCTTCTTGGGTCCATTTCTTGGCTTTTCGTGGAGGTGCAATTCTTTTGCTATTGACTGCAGTGTAATTTACCCCACAAAATGGACTAACTAAGGCTTGAAAATGCCGAATCTACCTGCTGGCATTGTTGTAAACGGTGATGAACTGCTCCCATGACCCACGCCGGCTCCTGTCTCGGCCTGGATGGTGACAGTGTAGGTGGAGCAGGGGGTTAAATTGGACACCCTGACCGAGGTGTCGGTTGTAGTTCCTGTCAATGACTGGGTGTCATCAATGGACCCGTCAAGCTTGATCTGCCATACATATTGAATGATCCTGCCGTTACTGTCTTCGCACGATGGGGCGCCCCAGCTGATACTGGCAGAGAACTGACCGACTGAGGTGACTGAGACGTTTGACACTGGCCCAGGAACTGGAGGATAAAGAGAGAATTTGCTCTTCTGTGACACAACCTCACAAAATGAGTCACCAGTTGCCAGAACGAGTATGTGAAAAGCAAGGACATCAATAACGGTGCCTAAGCCTCATTTTGTTTCGCCGTGGTGTGATTGCCTTTTCTGACAGTTTTCCGGCCCCTTTCCAAGTGGCACACTGCCAAGTTGGCTATAAGTCGTCTAATTTGGCATGGATAACATGCATTCCATACTAAAACATATGATTGGTTTGGAAATTGCCTCCCAGGGTCTCATCAAGGACTGCAATATATATATCTACCTATCCCTTTCCACCCAAAGCTAAAAACTGCCTGTCCTCTCACGGGAACTGTTTTGAGGAGGACACCCCTAGATGCAATCCGGGATGCATTTCCATTGCATCCTGTATTTTGGAAGGGAACATGAAGAATCGTTCCCTACTGTAAAGAAAGGAGGGCGCCGGGCAGGGGGTGACCTTGTACATTTTGTTTCTGCTGGTCCTCAAGACAGGTGGCTAGATGAAATACAGATGTATGCTTGAACAGGATTTGCTAACCAGCAGCAGGTTGTGCAGCATTTGCAGCTACACGTTTACCAACTTCACTTACCAGATTCGTCGGTCGCTATGGCTCTACTCACTAGGTCCCCGGGCCCATACACATTGAGTGGTGACACAGTCACCGTGTAATTTGAAGCTGGCGACAAATCATCAATGCGGTATTCCCTACTGGAGTTTCCTACTGTGGTGTTAAACTCAATGCTGTCAACCTCTTCCCCGCACGGCAGGTGCCTCTCCAGTTTGTGAGTGATCAGGTATGCGGTGATACCACAAGGATTGGTGTCAGCAGAGGGGGTCCATGTTACCCGGACAGAACTGCTGTTTGAGGTTACACTGACTTCACTGACTGCATTTGGGACTGTGGAACACAAAATATGGGTTCAACGTTTCTTCTGAAAAATCCCTCTTGCTGTGACAGCAGAACTGAAGTTTGTTAAGTTTAAAATGGAGCAAAATGTCAACAAAATCAATGCACAGTATCTCACGTCTTCCCTCCTGGTTTTTCTGTCAGAAAATTTCAGGAGTGAAATAAGATAGCGTGCTCTCAAGAGATAACATTGATTCCCACTGGTGCTCCACTTGTCCACTGACAGAATAACCCACACATCCAATAATCATTGTCTGGGGATTTTTTTTTTCAATTTTATTGCAAATTTTGCAGTGAACTGGATTTGGTGAGAACGGCAGATGCGAATATGAAAGATACGCAGGCATGGATTCAGAGGGGAGTTTGGAGGATCAAACCCACCCTGCTCATTGCCTCTTTACCAATATTTGGGGGGGCGGGGCGGGGGGTGAGGGGACATACATTTGAAGGCTGGAAGACACCTATTTAAAATATGTAAACCACGTGGGAGGTCTTATTTTGCATGTGCAGTTAAGGAAAAAAGCAAAGAGATTGAATGGCTATCACCAATGGTGGACAACTATACGTAGAAAAACCTCCCATATGAACAAAATTCCCAAACTCCCCCTCCAGCAAAAAATCCTGGATTCGCCCCTGATATGGAAACATAACTACCTTCTCCCTTTGTGTATTCAAAATGTGCATCGGTGAAGGTACCGGTGCCCTTTGAAGTCTTGGCCTTTACTTTGAAGTGGTACTGAGTGCAGGGAAGAAGTTTGTGAAATGACACCATAGTAACATTGGGAAGCAACTCCTCTTGTTCAATTCGTCTGGTACTCGGAGTCTTAAAAAGCTTGCACACATAATTTGAGATGGCACCGTTCTTCTCGTTGCAAGGCGGAGGCTCCCAGCTGAAGGTGAGAGACCTGGGCATTCTCTCTTCGACCCTGACGTTGATGGGATTTCCTGGTGCTGCAAACCCCGAGAAAGAAAAGATTTAAATTACAGCCACGGTCAACTCAAAGATGATCACTCTGACAAGACAAAAAATAGTGACAGCATTCGTTGCTTGGATAATTCTTACCTGCTTCCAATGTGTTCACTTCCAGACTTTCTGCCTCACCGAACCCAGAAACTGTTTGTGCTCTGATGGACACAAGGTACTTGGATGCTGGAGACAATGCAGGTATGTCATATCTTGTTTCTGTGCCGTTTACTGTTTCATTGATGAGCAGGGTGCCAGTTTCATTCTGTGGGCACTGAAGGTGTCTGACAAGTTGGAAGGAAATCAGATAGTGGGAGATGTCACAGGAGGCATTCTCTGGTTCTATCCATGTCAGTTCCAAAGATGTTGCCAACGGCCGTGCTACCAAGTTTCTGACAGCATTTGGAGCTGTTAAAAAATTGTAGGAAAATATTAATGTGCATCAGAATCAATCACACGAACAAGCATATCCCTGGTAACCTTTGTGTTCCTTTTATTTTTGCAAATCTGCAGCATGACCAACACAAACAATATTAAGTGAAATATTGAGTACCGTCACAGTTGGTGCAACGCTGATCAATAAGTTATAGTAATCTGGGGGGAGGTTATCTCAATCAATAAATTTGCCCAATCGTGTCTTTTCACTGTCAAAACAGTGGTTTTCACCATAGATTAGAATTAGAATTTTCTTCGTGACAAGAAAAATTTCTTCCTGGCATAAAGAGTGTCAAGTTTATGCATGGTATCTTGAAATATCACACCAGTCTGTTAGTTTCTACCTCGCTTCCTTTACATTGGCTTTATTCTTACTGTTGCACTTGTTTTTAAACCACTGTAGTTTAAGACTACACGGTGGGGCTTGTTTTTTAATGAAAGTCATGCAGAACCAGATTTCAGTCTTCGTGTGTTATCATTTATGAGTACAAATGCATGATTTTGGAAAAGGAAACTTCTGCAATCTACTTTCAAAACTATTTTACCTTGGCCCCTCGTGGAGCTGGGCAATGCTGGGCTGAACATGCCATACCCTGCGGATGTCTGAGCACGGACTTGAAAGCTGTAGCCAGTGCAAGCTGGCAATCCTTCAAAGGTTGCCATGGTGACAGTGGCTCCAGTGGTTTCGTTTCTCACAGCTCCGGTCTGCATGTTGGTAAGTCGGTAGTGATATGCCTGAATTACGCCATTGCTGTCGTTGCATGCAGGCGGCTGCCAGGTAAAACCGAGGCTTGAGGAGGTGGTAAATGTTGGGCTCACCGAGACTGGGGGTGCAGGAACTGTAAAGAAGTCAGGTTGGAATTCCGAGGCTAACATTATTTGGTATGGTTACTTATCACACAATCTGAATCAAATTGGACGTGTATTAAAGACGGTGGCACAAAGTGACAAATGAAGAAAATCCTAGCGAGGCAGAAAGGACATTGGTGCTGACAATGGTATGATCTTCCAGAATGTGATGATGAGGTTACGTCTGCCGGATGCCATTGAACAGACTCGCAAAGATCCTACTGGATCTGGCAACAAGGGGCACCCAATATAAGGGCACACTAAACAAAAGATGAAAGGAGACTGATCTACCTGCCCGGAGCAGGATCAAAAGAGGACCCAAATTTGAGCAGCAATACTTTAAAATCTAATATTTTGGCAAAGTGTCTGATTACTGTTAAGGCTGTGAAGTCTTAATAGTGATTCACTAGCGAAGCCAATGCAAACGTCTGTAGCAACACGGGACAACCAACTCACCAGATTCCTCAGTTGCTATGGCCCTACTCACTGGTTCCCCGCCTCCATAAATGGTGAGTGCCGATATAGTCACAGTGTAATTTGAAGCTGGAGACAACCTATCAATGAGGTGTTCGCTACTGGAGTTCCCAACTGTGGTGTTAAACTCAATGCTGTTCACAACATTTTCTCTGCAAGGCAGGTGCCCCTCCAGTTTGTGAGTGATCAAGTACCCAGTGATACAAGGATTGGTGTCAGTCGGCAGCTTCCACGTTACCAAGATAGAATTGCTGTCTGATGTTACACTGACATTACTGACTGCATTTGGGACTGTGGAAAATGAAACGAAGATTACAGTTTTTCACATGAAATCGTTTGACTGCGATAGCATGAGAGAAGTTCAAAGTGGTAAAATCTAGTCTTGAAAACATCCGAAATAATGAATGTGTAATAACGAAGCAATACTGCCAAACACATTTCTCATATTTCTGGTTTTATTTTCTAACCTTTACCATTATGCAGACTGAAGTACATGGCCTAGAATGCAACAGAGATTAAGTTTTTCCATATCTTGTCATTTATACGAAATAAATAACCTGCGTACAAAAATGAACACTGTTTATGCCCATTGCTATTGACGGGGACAAAAAATGGCCAAAAATTATTGGTAGGCTAAAGACAAGATGAAATGTACCTAACTAAAAAACATGGCCTAATTGGCTCAACTCTAAAGTTAGGCCTCATTCAGAGTTCGAGATGAAGACTTCGAATTCATTTCACTTTTGTTTTGGCATGAAATACAGTACGTAAATAAGCACTTCCATTTGAGGCAAAGCGTATACACGTACTTGGTAGAAAGACACTTTTCCTCAATTTTTTGCTGTTTCGCTGTTTGTAAGTTTTGCCAACTTTTTCTTTATGAGGTCAGACAAACTGCATCTCAACTTAATGCTCATAGTGTGTACTTCAATTGGAAAGAGTCAGAGACATTTATTAACGTTCAAAATATTAATATCTCTGAAAAATCCTTTTATGAAAATTTACATCCATCCCCTTGTTGTCATTCAAAGGCACTTCAGGAAATGGTCCACTACGACAATGACAAAAAATACAGAAAATGGCACTAATTGTTAGGGTTGGGGTATGTAAATTGTTCATTTTTTTGGTGAAAATAAATATAAATCATACATATGTCTCTGGGTGGTTTTATTTGCCGCATACACCATGTACATTAAGTAGAGGACCATCTTGTCTGTCCTCATGAAAAGAAAAGTTGGCAGGAATAAGTGACGTTGTGAAAATCGAAGAAACCCATTTTTGTTCCACCAGGTGTATGTAAACGTTTTGCCCCAAATGTAGCTAGCTACACAACATACATGTACCTTCTTCCTCTGTGAAGTCAAAAAGTGCTGTAGTGAAGCCACTTCCACCAACGGAAGTCTGTGCCTTTACTTTGAAGTGGTATTTTGTGCATGGAAGAAGTTGGTCAAATGAAACCATGGTGACGTTAGGGAGTGTGTCATTCTCTTCAATTCTACTCCGCCCCTCCGTCTCCACAAATTTGTACTTGTAGCCTATGATGAGACCGTTCCTCTTGTCACATGGTGGAGGTTCCCAGGTGAAGGAGAGAGACCTGGACGTTGCCTCCTCCAGGCTGACGTTGATGGGCTTTCCTGGCTCTACAAACGCCCCCAAAATGGAAACTTCAATTGCAGCCACAGTACGTATAAAAACACAGAATATAAATTGGTAGGTAGAACGAGTACATGTACATGTACCTTTAAGGAGACTTGAACATCTTAAAACAGGACTAAAGACATCTCTGCCTTTGTTGAGGTCAGTTTGTATGTGACAAGAACTGAATACAGATGCAATTTGCTGATGCCAGATTTGGCAAAAGTTAAACACATTTCAACCCAGTGTTGTCACAACTGTTTTACAATGTCAATTTTGCTTCACTCACCTAGTGCAGCTAGTGTGAATTTGCCCTTGGTATCGACAAAGCTATGGGCTCAACTTCGGTCCCCAAACGATTCCTGTTTTACTGATTTGATTCCATGATGGGACTGCAAACACATTTTCTTGCCTGAAATGAATACTGTTTTCCCACCCGTTTTCCATCAACAAAGAATTGCTGCAGGTAGGGCCTAGCTTACGCATGTCTTCAGTTCTCCAAAATGCAGACCAGCCTTTGCGACTTACCCTCTTGCAAGGTATCTGCATATTCATGAGTCCAATTTCCCATGCCAGCCGATGTCATTGCTGCCACAGACACCAGATAGTGAGAGTAAGGTGACAGGTCCGTTGCCACATAATGAGGATTTTCGGTTGTTACCAATTCCTCATCAAAATCCTTGTTGCCATCACACGCCAGGTGCTTGACGAGCTTGTAAGTGAGGTTGTAGCCGAGTATGTCACACTGCGTGCCTGTCGGAGGTTGCCAGTCAAGTTGAAGGGATCTTCTTGTATAATAAATCTGGACGTCTGTTACTACATCAGGCACTGATTGAAAAGTTGGGATTTCAATAATTAGTGAGGTTAACAACACCATTTTGTTCTTGATAAACTTCACGCAGGTACAGTGCATCACAATAATGAGCCTCTAACAGCGCATGTCCAGCACACATGGTACAAGGTTTATTCAGGAACAGCTACATGAGCACAATGGTCTGTCCTGTCAGTGAAACAATAAGCTGACTCATGCGCACGCTCTGTTCCCAAAAGACCTTGGCTTTTTGAAGTACCAAATGGGCTAATCAGTTTACAGCATGGATCACAGCATACATACATGTACATGTCTTTCACAAATTCAATTTGTGACAGTTATGTAACAAGCAGCTGTTACTGTAGATGAAGGTATTTGTTTCCAACATGGATGTGTGCTGTGCTTGTATATTATACTTAATTTTTTCCAGTAATCACAACTGTAACAAATCATTTGTTTTCAACTCCACGCCTGCACATTTTTGAATTTCAATTTCTTTATGAACTTCTTAAGATGTGGTATCAACAGATTAACAATTCTAGTGCCCAACCTAGGCAGACTTCTCTATGAGTTCAATCATAGCAAAAATAATATATGTGACCCAACACAATCAGGAATACCGGTAAGTCGCAAATTGACTTTTTGAGATGCGTACATGGTCAGAAAGAGACTTTTACAAGCTGTCAAATGTTACACATTACTAAGTGCATGGATGGTAACCTTTCATACCTACACTTCCAAAAGAAATAAAGAAACCACCACATCGATTTTTTCAACCCGCATCCTCACTTTACTCGGCCATTATGCCTCAGCTTATTCCCTGATAATGATGTACAGGGTCACATATTCACATCATGATGGCCTATTAAGCATTGGTAAACTGTGATTACTGTGCCACAGATGGACCAGCACACCCTTAAGAATTGAAGTAGTTCATGTTTTTTTGATCAAGTAAAATGTTATTCAACTCACATTCAGAATCTGTGGTCACGGGTAGCTCAGTCAATAAGCCCGGTCCGACACTTGTTTCTGCACCTACTTCAAAGGAATAGTTTGTACAAGCTTGCACGTTCTCAAACAGCACTTGGGCCTCAGAAGAAACTAGTCTCTTTTCAGTTGTACCAGTTGCGCTCCACAATGAAGCATGATAGCTGGTGAGCAGCCCATTTCTCTCTGCACAAACTGGCGGATCCCAGGTGAACGTCAGAGAGTGCGGTGTCGTCTCGGCTGTGACGGAGACAGGATGGCCGGGAACTGTTGATATAAAAGGATGGAGTGTTATAGAGGAATTGAAGAAGGCTCTAACACGGGTTCACATGCTCAAGGGTGCTGAGCACTGACATCCAATTTGCAACTGAATGTGTACAAATCTGTAGCAGATTGGCAGGCACGACAACAACGATGCTGGAGTGTCTTCCAATGTCTCACTCCTTATTAACTCCAGGTCAAAAGTCTGGAAAAGAGTTTATGGGCTTATCTTCCAGCCACAAGCAGAGGCCACAGTGGGATCTTCATTTCCAAACTCAGCCAGGACTCTTTCTAAGGCAGTCGTATGCGAGGCGCACACTGTACTGGCCAAAGGCACACCGTGAGATACAGGGTGTAAAAGCACTTCCAATTATCACAGCTTTACCCTTCTGAGTCAACATTACTGAAAGGGTCCTGCTTTACAAGCGGTGAAATGGTGGTGGAACAACTGGATTTGAAAAACCAAAATGGCAGACAGTATGCTGTGTCACTTGCATGTGTAAACCACGAGCACAGCCTGCTGATGAACTCTTTACTGATCGCTCAAAAAGCACCTGTGAAAATACATCATGGATGGTTTGTGCAGAGTATCCCCAAGCTGCCACAAATACACAAAACGCACAAGGCTCCTACTCCGAATCAAGACTCCTACCCTGAATCAAGTCCTTTTACAACATTCAACAGCCAGTTTCTTACATTACCTCCTTCGAGCGTTCGGCCGATCCCGGTAAAGCCCTCCCCATCCCCGGCAGCAGTCATAGCTCTGACGACCACTGCGTACTCGGAGTAAGGCAACAGGCCCGGTACAGTGGCCACCAGTGAGTTGAGGACTGACACCGTCAGGGTTTCTGGGCTTTCCGCAGGCTCGCACTGGCCTTGCTGCACCAGGGTGTAGGAAAGAGAGTAACCCAGGATCTGGCAAGGGGCTTGTAGGGGGGGAAACCATGAGACTTGAAGATGTGTGGAGTTGACAGCGAAGATGTTCAGCCTTGCTACCTTGTCGGGAACTGGGAAAAATAATGAACGATAGGATTAAAAATAAAACAAAAGTTACTTCAGTTAAAGGGGGAATTTACAGGAACTACAAACTGACACATGGCTCTTGCAAATGGGCATTCAAATAGAAATAATTGCTTAAACCAGAACACACTTAGTGGTGTGTGAACATAATTCCAAGGCTTGGAAAACTGACTCACCTCCTTCAGCTGTTGTTACATTCAGCAGGTTGCTGAAGCTCCCATTACCAGCCGATGTCCACCCTCGAACGTGGAACTGATAATCCGTGCAGGGATCTAAACTCTGGAAGGTGAAATTTGTCTCAGAGGGTGAAGTGACTCCTTCTAATAAAGGGTTGCCATGGCGATCAAGGAGCTGGACATGATAACCTAAAATGACGCCGTTTCTGTCGGCACAGTCGGGTTCGGTCCATGCAAAGTCAAGACTGGTGTTTGTGGATTCACTCTGCAACAGCACTGGAGGTCCAGGGACTATTAACAAAAATGGAAAAAAATCATAACAGAAACGGACAGCAATAGGCCAATAATTGTGCAGTAGATCTGACTGTCGTAATTAGAATTTCTGCAAGATGGGTTCCTTAAATTGTGTTTGTGACAAGTTCTACAACTGTGAGTAACGTACAGCCCTACTGTGGAGCCTGAAAGGTTTGTACCGCTTAGGCAACATATGGATTGTTGGTTTAGAACTTTCAGGTGTGGTCAAGTCGTGACTGTTCAAATACCCAGGTACTACCCCAGAACCACGAGGAAACAGAAGTTCCTACTTTAGAACCTTGGATGATGTACGTTAGCTTTATTTGTGGTGTCTGTTACCATGGAGTGTACTTTGACGTCCATCCACTGATTACACTTGCTGTCAGCTAGTGCTTGTTACAACAAGTCTCAAGCACTTAACTCAGCCTTCCCTGCCAACAAAACATTTTGAAGCCCCGTCGGCGCGACATTTTGAATTTCATGAGCATGTTGGCAGAACATAATGAAATAAGATGGAACAAATTCTGAACAGTGTTCTTTAAATGCAATGTACAAGAATACCACATGCAAATAGCATACCAGTGCATTTTTCTATTAGTCGTATGGCCCATAAAGGAGCCTTAGAAAAATTTATCCGTGACACATTTGTGTGGGAGTTAGTGTTGATAACACAGAACAGAGCAAATGGCTCACTTACTGATTGTACATTTATGTTTGGGTGCGTCAGCTACATGTATGTTGATGCATCATTTTTGAATACAAAAGCAGGAATGAAAAAAGCCACACAAAATGTTGAGTTTTCAAAAGGTTTGTGCCCAAACATGGATGCGTCCAACAGGCTTCACTCTAGAGAGCCTGTTAGAATTCTTACGATTGAATTTAACTCTACGACCCCTAGTTAAATCTAAAATCTACCCTACGTCAACTTAAATTGTTGATCAGAGATCACGAAGAACTGTCCAAGCCATAATTCAATTGAATAGTTTGAGCCCTAACTTGAGACTGGGTAAAGTTTGGTTGAATCATGACAACTTCCAAGGACTTGCAACTGTAAGGAGTCAATAATATAAGTACCAAAGCTAAGTAATACCCAAGAATACGGTACAAGGGAGCCAGGCATAGACTCCTGGGTGGCAAGCACAAGTTAGACAGGAAAATGTCATCCATTGGATTTTACAACTAGACGTGAAAACAAATGTAAGACCTGATTGGCTTGTGGTGTTTTTTCCGTTCGTCATGTCTGATGACACTCCTGCATCTGTTTCACTCCGCACTTTAAATCTGTACAGTCTGTAAGGCAGTAAACTACCGACTACCAGGGAATAGTCCCTGGTTTGTTTATAACCAATGAATTTATTTTCAGTTGACGGGCATTCTGTCCATTTCCTTAATTCACAGCGGATGCGGTACGTGATCACAGGGCACCCTGTACCGGCCGGCCGCGACCAAGACAGCCGGAGGGCGCTAGCATTGATGGGTCGGACGACAAGACTGGTGGGTGGCCCCGCAACTGTCAAAAAAAAAACCAATCACAGACAAATAGAAAACAGACAGACCACATCAACAGACAAATGCACAGCCATATACCGGTACGTGGAACTGATAAAAACAAGAATGGCAGAGTACATGTAACTAACGGCAAGGTGAACATCGTTCAAAACACATGTAATCAGAGATATCGAATAAAGAAAGACAAAACCCAGACATATGACCACAACAATCACACCACTTGAGAATACCCACATCGAATACCAAGCACACACATCAACAGACAGAATGCACTTACACATACAGAACAACGAAACTGTCAAACAATAAACAAAAGCATGTTCTGCACACAGACACTTGCAGATTACAAACAATATCACATACACCAATGGGCAATAACACATGGGAACCACCGACCAGCAATCAACGTTTTAAACCTAGACAATACAGAAAAAGAGGCATGTTTGTTGTATTTTCCCTGGGATGTCACATTTCCACACACCTGCACACGTGGTGTTCCCTGCAGTGGGCGGGCTAGGGGGGCCAGCCCCGCCCACCCCGGGCCTGACGGCAGTCACACGGAACTCATAACCGGTTGCCTCCCGCAGACCCTGTACCACGATGGAGCGAGCGTCCTCCGGGGCCTCCAAGGCTGTGATGTTGCCTTCCCCAGTGCCGTCTGCACCCAGCTCCAAGTAGGTGATGATGTATTTGACCAAGGGGCCCTCTCCCCTATCGCTGGGCTGGGTGCCCCATGCCTCCCAGGTGAGTGTGATTGTGTTACTTGAGCTGTTGAAAACAGTCGGTTGGGTGGAAAGCCACGGCGGCTCTGAAGAAAAAAAGGAATACGTTTCTCAAATCTGTGTACATCCATTCACAATTTTCAACACCGTTTATTTCGCTGTTCTTCTACGAGAAATGAAGCAAATCCTTGTCCCCCAAGATACTGCAAAATCTGTCATGAAGGGTTTGAAAGATTCTCCAGGATTGTGGAAGGCACACGTAGAGCTGAATGACCCAATACTTCATGCTGCTCCTTGATGTTCCCCAAAGTTTTGAGTACAGAGACTGTGCCATTTGTTTGCTGCACAGTGTGCCATGACTGAGGACCTCTCTGTGCAAAAATACCCAGGTAAGCGATGGTAAAGGGTGCAATGATAATTTGGTGTTGAGGAAACTACTAAAACACACTTACAGCCCAAATGTTTATGCTTTGAATTCTCTCTCCCAATTGTAGGCCTGTTCTTTATAAACATGTCTGCCACAAGCCCTGCCTTGAAGTGTTTTCCCAACCTCTCTAGCCTGCTGGCCTTTATTCATATGGTAATTTGGCAATAGTGTATTGGTATTGTATGTTTTTGGGACCGTCACAAGGAAGAAGTTAAAGGTTAGCTGCAATCAATTCATTTTAATACAGTACAGACCTTCACAATGCACCTTTGTGTCTCAGTTAACGTTATTTTCAACTTCTTTCACTATTTCACTCTTCTTTATGCTAATGGTATTTCCATATTCATGAGCAGCACTGTGATGTCATCCCGTTGCCTCTTTTCAAAGTGGGACTATTGTGAAGCTGGTTATTATCATGTGTTCGCTCGAGGATGGGCCGAGAATAACAGCTGAAATGCGGGTTGAGGATCTCAATTTTTACGGCCACTCTCACCGTCTCCCGGTGCAAAGGGGTTCAGGGATTTAATGGGAAAAAGTTTTAAATAGTGCACTTTTTCAATACTTTAAACCAAATACAAATGTACATGTATACGAGTTTTCATACCTTGAAAAAAGAGTAAAAGTCCCAGAAGAATTCACTGCAGCTACACTTTAATGTTTGGAGATGCAATACACATCAAAGACGAGAATACTATTGGCTTAGATACAACGCACATGTCAAATGCTCAAACATAACATACAGGGTGACCTACAAAAATGCAACTCCAAAGTTACATTTATTTTCTTCTAAGATTTTTATTTGAAATTGTTTTGCTATCAAACTGAACCTCTAAATGTCATCTTTTCACAGCCAAACCCTTAATTTAAATCCAATAATGACAATTATCAAAAATCGTTTAAGGAAACAATAAATGTTACTTTGAGGTTGCATTTTTGGGGTCAAACTATATAGAACAGGCTTAATACATGTTTGTGCATGCAGCTGCATATTTGGTGCAATGCCACCTGCATTCAACCATAGTGGGAAAAAAAGTTGAACTACATGTTCGTGTAAATTTGGGTCATATCACATTTTGATTATGTCATGAATGTGACCGCTGCCCACTATTCCAAAAACTTATTCTTTATTTCTTAAGAACAGGATTTTACACATCTGTCAATACATTTCGGTGGACCTGTTGGTTTTCCCCTTTGGAGTTTTATTTGTTTGAAAAATCAAAACTGTTTTTTTTTTTTCATGGAAATGATTTCCCACTTCCTCCTTCCTGATTGTCAATGTCTTTTTCAGACCCCCGGCCCGCGTGGCACGCAGGGGTGCCATTGTTCCTAACAACAGACAAAACAAAGACAGCGGATGAATTGGAAGCCCACCAACATATGCAGGAACTAACCACAGCATAACCTACTTAACCTTCCTATGCAAAGATGCATTCTCAACACAGTAGTCCTAACAGTCAAAATCAGTCAAGACACATCTGATATGTCTATGTACTGTACAGAGAGAAGAAGAGGGAATTTTTGACGGTGACCGCAAAAGGAGGGATTTTAATGACACTGATGAAGTACACTGATTGGTGCTCAATGGTTCAAGTGCATATTGCAAAGTTTGCGTGTGACTAACTTTCAACAGAATGCGCACAACCTGGCAGTGGGTCCTCTATACAGTGGCACCTTCCTGCAGTAACTTTACCCTTTTGTGCATTTGCTGTTGACAATCTGCATACGCTCAGTGCAAGTTTGATTGAGGAACACTGTCAAATATTAGTCATTTTTGCCAGGTACCCAGGAGGCATTTTGTGTACAGGTTACCGGAGGAAATCAACCAGTTGGCATCAAATGGTTGTCGCTTGCAAATGCCCGCAGTAGGTAGAGCACTTGTCAACCATTTTGGAGCTCCTGGGTTGGAATCCTGCTTCAATCCAGTTTTTACATTCAATAAAATAACTGACCATCAGTGAACCTGCTCAGTTTTTCTTTTTTCCATCACAACTTCAGAAATTAGGGGTCCATTTTTTTGGGTGTCCCTGTCACATCTGACATATGATGTGTTAAGTTCAGAACACATTTTCCAATTCCCAAGGGTGATAAATTAATACAAGTTACCTGCTAAACAAATAGCAATAGTTTGAAATTGATTCTGGTGAAATTTCCATGTCAAATAACAAAGGTCAGATGTAACAGGGACACAAAAATGTCACACTCTTGGGCCCCTAATTTCTGGAATTACCCATACTTGAGGACTTTAAAATGGTTGACCTACCAAAGGCTGTAACACTGACAGTTACACTGGCATTTACGCTAACACCAGTGCAGGAGTACACAGCCGATAAGGAATTGGCGACGACACGGAAGATGTACTCCACAGTGTTTGACGACTCGTCCTCGATGAAAAAATCAGCGTCTTTTTCGGTCCCGTCGGGCAGCAACAGGAGAAAGTCTGATTCATTCCAGCGGGGAGCTGCATAGTGGTACATGTACGGTACAGAGCAGGTGATGTTCGTCGTCTGGTTGATGTTGACTGCATCAAACGTCAGGGCTATCACCAGATTCATTTCTGTGGAATTAAATTTTTGGGAATTGCAGAAGAAACTGGCGTAGCACACTGATGACTGTAACACCATTAGTGCTGTAAGAGGGCCCATTGCATATGGAATAGCTGGCCTGATGATTCCATCATCATAGGGGAGGGTAATCCAGAGTGTACAATAAAACATGTAACCACATCACTGGTCACACTTGCACATGTATACTGACTGGTTGGTGCACACCAAGTCGCACTGCATGAACGAACGAGGCCTCCGTGATTCAATTTTGGGGCCTTCAAAATCTGGATGGCTGACACCACATTTCGTGCAACACAATGTGTTGTGCATGTACAGGACACTGACTAAGCTCTTGACCCCTTCACGGCGGGATTCTTTTGACCGCTGGGCTGTGGTATTCCCAGTGTGCGAAGCTCTGTCCAGCAGCAGGCCCCATTGAACCAGCAGCTGCATGGTGAATAGACTGTATGTGTGGTATGCACTAATCCTCACACAATGCTGCGGCGTTTGCAGTCCTTCGTCACGAAGGGTTAAAGAGTATCATGGGAAATCAGGCAACAACACAACTTGCTTATCACACGACGAGTTCAACATGCTCTCTTTTTCTCAACCTTTTCTAGAAGGTATTCAAATTATCTTTCATTTTTTCAAATTGCACACACCTTGGCAATTTTGCCCGGACCATCCCTCCTGGCAGGGAGAGCCATCGCATTCACCAGTGTCGGGCCGGCACGTGGAGCTGTTCTGACAGTGGCACCGCTGCTCACAGTTGGCCCCGTAAGTTCCTTCCTCGCATTCTGCACACGTTACAAAATCACCAGCCAATGCAATGGATCATCAACAATATCAAACTATCGTTGGGCCACTGGTGTGAACTCATCAACACCAAATGATGTTCATCAGAGGACAAGAACTCTGCAGTTTAAATGCAATTTTGTGTTATTAACACCAGGAAAAGATCAGTGCTCCCTTTTCGCACAAGTGGGGAGGGTGGAAATTCTGGCAAATGTGTAGTGCCGTAGTTGATGAGACCCCCACAACATCACACAAGACCAGACACAAGACAGGTCACATAACCGTCGACAAGTAAACAGGGTGAATAAAGACAAAAGAATGCTTTTGCTGCATTTCATGCAAATACAAGTAGCTAGTGATCCTTGAACTCAGACCAGAGATCTTGTGCTGGTCCTGTGATGGTCTCAAGGGGTCTCGTGACTGTATAGTGACTTTATAGCGATCATTTTATCGAGCCGAATACAAAGCTTGCTGGCAATGCCTGCCTTTGTTCTCCCTGGCGTCAAAAGAAACAAGCTAATCCGCACATTTGTATTTGGCTTGGTAAAAGGGCCGCTGGTTGGCTTCTATTTCATACAAAGGTGTTGCAAGTCCAGGTTTTTTTATAAACGTCCGTGATTAAATGAAGCTTAAGTTCATGCTCATGTCATTAAAAACTTCGCACCGCACCTTCTGAGCAACTGATGCCTTTGTAGCCCGCTCCACAGGTGCAGCCAAATGGTTCGGGCAGACAGAAGAGCTGGCCCTGGCAACCGCCATCGTGAGGGTCTTCGGAGAGGCTGCAGCTGTACTGGCCTTGCTGCCCAAAGACATTCTGACCATGCACTGGAAAAAAGTAAAACATGATCAAAAATTTGAACATTTACATCTTGAGCATTCTGTACAATTTGGTCCATTATTTAGTTGCTACGTTAAATTTTGTCCTTGAGGGTTTGGATAAATCGGGACGTTACACCCAACTGTGTGCAATTGACTTCACTAAGGCTTTTGATAGGGTTAATCATAACGCACAGAAGCTTATGGACCTCGGAGTTAGAGAATCTATAGTTCCTACTGTCTGCAGCTTTCTTACCAATCGCACACAAAACAGCAAGCAAAACGGTCATTTGTCATCTACCAAACAGATTACTTGTGGAGTTCCCAAGGTGCAAAATTGGGACCTTTCTTTTTCTTGTTAACAATGCCTCTATGGATTGCAGCAGATGGTGGAAGTTTGAGGATGATCTAACTCTAAGACAAGTAGTCAAATTTGTTGAAGCATCTACCCTTCAAGTACATCTTGATAACCTTTCGGTTTGGTGTCGGCAGAACGATGTTTTACCCAAACCTTCTGACTTCCAACAGATGATGTCTGAAGTCATCTGTTTGAAGTCTGAATCCCACCTCAAGGCAGCTGCAATTGCCATCACACAATTTCCATGCAAACCACGTACATGTACATGTACATGTGTACATGTACACGCACCCATTGCTAGGCGTCAAGGCTACACTCACTAAAATGCAGTGTCAAATGGTGCACTCAACTTTTTATTACATGTGGCAGCTCTTCAACAGACACCTAGCAAAGAGTGCCATATATGGACATCACTTGATACCCGTATCCTGTGCACAAACCTATGGGATCAGCCTGAAAAATGCTACGTTTTCTAAATGAATGTTTTTCCTTGCTAAATTTAATTTTCAGGACCTGGTATCCCGTTCTGATGGCTAGTCAGCCACTGCCACTGGAAAATTAGTGATGTCTGCACGTATGGACTCTTACAGACCTGAGATCTCCAAAGATGGCCTTTTGGATGAATGTAGGATATCCAGGTACATGTACTTGTAACGACCCCGCCGAGCAAACAGAAAATTACGATCCCAGGAAATTGAGAGGTTCCTTCAGCTGCATGAGCACATGCAGCTGAAAGCCTCAAAATAACCTCCGGCCACTGACCCTTCTTGTGAAATTTCCCCTCGTTGAATTTCTTTCCCAACCTTTTCCCCCGGGCTGAAGAATGATCCACACGGTTATCTGCATCGGCAACCGCGTGCTTTCAATCACACCCACTTCCCTCCTGCGCCGCCGGTGTCGACTACAGTGTGTATTAATTGTTGAGACAAGGGGTCAATTTCATAAGTGAGACCAGGGGTCAATTCCATAAGTGAGCCCAGGGGCCAATTTCATAAGCTGCTTAAGCACAAAATCTGCTTAAGCACAAAAAATCTTGCTTAAAAACTAAGGTTACCTGCTCAAAATCTATGTGACTGTCAGGCTAACCAAAGGACAGGTAAATACCAAAAACAATATAAATCACATGGTGTCTTGGCTGGTAACCTGATTTGTCAAACAAGGGTTTTTCATGCTTAAGCAAATTCTGTGCTTAAGCAGCTCTATGAAATAGGCCCCATTGCTGGAGTCACATTCTACGATGGGCACAACATGAGCAACGATGCATACCAGTCACTTGGGTTTTGACTTTTCTACTGCGTGTTCAAACCGTAACCTTCTCTATTTCCAGAAAGAGTAGACTTTCAAATTGTTTATTTACATGAATACAAAGTACAAGATGCTTGTCCTAAATTCAGACAAGGAACCTATGGAAAAGGGCACCATTACAAGTTGATACGTGACACTGTGTATCGTATATGTACATGGGTTATTCCAGAAATTGGGGGTCCATTTTTTTTCGTGTCCCTGTCACATCTGAGTTCCAAGAGTGATTAATTAATGTAAATTACCTGCCAAACAAATAGTAATATTTTGAAATCAATTCCGGTGATATTTCCATATCAAATAACAAAATTCAGATGTAACACTGATATGAAAATGTTACACTTTTGGACCCCTAATTTCTAGAATTACCCACATGGCAAGTCTGCATGTACAAACCATGTACATACGATACAATAGCTCCCACAAAATGAACAGGATCAGCACGGAAAATTTTCTACGGTTTTCAAATCTTCAATGGGGAAAAAAAGCAATTCTTTCAACCCTTTCAAACTGCTAGCGGATTTCTCCAGCCTAACAAAGACTAAAAACTCTTTTAACAGGGAATGTCTGAGGACAGTATTTTTACAGGCACCGGTATGACCTCCAGAAGGCTCCAGTAGCAGGCCGACCCATACACATGGCGTAGGTATAGTGGTAGGCAAGGTTCTACACCCCTCTCTAGTCACTGATACATGTACCGGGATGTGTTGCTGTGAAATCACGCCACTGCACCTTTTACATTCCATCAACCCTAACTTCCTGCGATGGACGTTTGTTTGTGACACAAAACCTTCTTCAGTTCAAACAAAACACTCTGCAGTTCATGTATAGAAGGTATTTTTAGGGTGTGATTACATGTATATGTGGATACAACTTGGGATGTCATCAGACAAATTCATGGTGGATAGCTAGACAAAACGCTGGTGGTGGTGGTGAATTCCAATCAAAGCAGGGAGGTGTAGACCAAATCCCGAGTTAAAAGTTTCAAAACGGGAATTCAATCTGACTTAAACTGGCACATGTGGCCATCCACTCCATACATTAACAAGCAGTGGCGCCATGTGAATATTAAAGCAAAAGGCATCCCTCCGGTGGGAACACAAGGCATATGCACACTGTGGGTTCACGCATGCTTAAAACGAGCTGAGCTGAGTACGCTTGACCAAATTCTGGAGTACGTGTAGTCTTTGTGTGCACCAGGCAACCATTTTAAATCATCCCTGCCATCTGTTCTCTCTTCTTTGTAGGTAAAGGGTTCATTGACACTGTTTTTAACAGAGCGGATAATAATGTACAAGTGCATGCGATGTACCGGTACATGGTAATTCCACAACCTAAACATACTGTGTGCCAGTCATGGGTCCTACAAATTCCCCCCTTTCAGAACAGATTTGGCTCTCCTGTGAAGGAAGTAACGTCATAAATGAGCAGTTTCAAGCACCAGGGAACTAAAATGTGACTGAGGGGTTCCTGTTCCCCATTTGTGTCAACTTCCTTCCAAGTCTCCCCAATCCCCCATGTCCCAACCCTCTCCCCCCCAGCCAGATGGGAAGTCAAAAACAGGAAATTGATGACGTGCTTCTGGAAGGGGGGAGGGTGGATATGCATACATGTACAGACACACACAGGGAGACATTGTCAGGGGAGGGGAAACTCTTGCGGTTTGCGTGAATGACGGTGAATCAACAAGAGGTACACCTGAATGTTATGAAGACTCGGGCATCATATAATCCTAAACTAAGGGGTCTATGAATATGATATTTGGTTATGAGTTTCTTGGGGAAAACCCAACCAAAAAAGTGACATTATTGATATGGTCATATACAATGGTACATGAACATGTACTTCCTATTTGATGGGAGGGCGGGGGAGATTAGAGTTGTGTGATAACAAAATGGGTTGATGGGATTACACCTGTGCATACTTGTGCATGCACTCTAAGATGTGCAAAGACAAGACAGAAATGGTTACTCCAGTGTAGCGTGTTCTACAATTCTGATTAAACTAACATACATGTGCCTTGTTAATTCAGACTCGCATGCATCTCTTGATTAGTTCTTTGAGAAACTGGAACTTAGTTAGTGCCAGTACATGCCTGAGTTAGCAAGGTCTTGTGAGTCAGCAAGGTGTCGTAAGCACTCACAAAAACACAGAAAGAATGAGAGCCTTGCTACAGTACCAATGGTCACACCATGCCAAATGTTGCAGTCACGAAGTAAAAATCCGCCTTCCTGTTCCATCTGACATTGTCACGTCCCTTGAAATATAGACAGGTTAAAATCTACTGGCACGAATTTGTTGGGAAATGGAAACGCAGATTTTGTGATGAACAGGAATGACCTCACCAGTTATTTAATCATCTCAAATTTGAGACCTGTTCCCTGGCTCTGAGGAACATTGAGAGTTGGTTTATGACTATAACTTGTGGAAAATTTGTCTCATTCAGGTTACCAGACTTGTTGATATGGTGGAGTACCAGAGATCCACAATCACTTGTTTGCAATCTTGGGACTTCAATGACTACAGCTTTTACCATCAATAACAAAATTTGCAAATTATTTGAAATAATTATGCCACACAATCACCAAAATGCAAACTATTGACCTGACAGAAAGGAAAATTTGAGCCAAATTTGCCACTCTCAATCTCTCACCATTTTGGCACTGTGATCCACTGAATCCCGGCGGACAGATGCACTGGCCTGTCTCAGGATGGCACATCCCCCCATTCAGACAAATGGAACACTCCATCTGGCAGTCATCTTTGGGGCTCCATTTCCCTGTTGGACACTCTGAATACAAGTTAAACAAAAGAAGGAAGATGCCATCAAATGAAGACGTGGAGTTACCCCCCCCCGGTACATGTACCGTACGTGTTTTCGACTCTGTGAGATTGGATTCACTCTGTTGAGGTGGCAAAGCTCTGGTTTTTCCTCATAAAGTTTACACAGAATCCTTCATCGGGTTACTTCCTCTGAAAAATAAATAAATAACCATACATTCTCAACAAATCATGATGTAATCACACTCACCTCTTACCAAAACCTGGGTGAACCCGGCATTTTCCTTGCATTGCTTAAAAAAGTGCCTTAGCACGATGCTTGAGCGGTTGTAAAAATGCTCACTCGTAAGCATGACATCTGCCTCCATTCCAATTTTTTCTTTACTGTTGAGCACATCAAACCACCTGTATTTGTCACTTCCATTACAATCATCTCTGACTGTCATTTGAAGGGTGATATTGCCATCCTCTGTCAGGGGGTCATAGGTCATTGTGAGACGTGGTGGATAAAGATTTGCTGTAAAGAGCAAAAGACATCAGGTTTCAATTATGAGCCATTAACGAGCTGACTGAAGAAGACGCAAGTCCCCTGAGACACTCTCTTTGTGAGTTCAGTAAACTTGTGTACATGCATGCAATAATGGTCTTCAATCAACAGACAGAGAAACAAAAAGAACGTCTGAACAGTATCAGCAGACACCCACATATATTCTCACCATTTCAAGACACCTTGAAGGGGTGAAGTTAACCATGAAGGAATCACCAAGGCTTATTCCCAATCACAACAAACAGAAAAACTCAACCCTCCCATGCAAAGACGCATTCCTGCCCAAAATTGTCAGATCAATCGAAATCAGACAGATCAGCCCAAATCAGACCCTTACCTTGTACATGTATGTCTCTGTGCATCTTACACCGACGTTCAAGTTAATATACTTGTATTTTCACAACATTCATTGCTTATGCATGTAAAGGCATCTTTTTATGAACCTGTTGAAACACTGAGTATACAAAATATAAATACGTGTACACATCAGTGTAAGGGCAAAACCCCTACTTCAACAATAACATCTCCCCGACCCAAAATGCACAAACCACTTGAATGCTTCTACAACATTTCTAGGTTTGTGTATGGTAAACAAAGTGCATCCATGTGCATCTCATCGGTTAGTTTTGTCAAGGAGAAACGGAAAATCTTGGTGCGCAAAAGGACCTGTGGATTTACAAATGTCTTAGCTCGATCTGGCAGCTTCAAATCGAGTCAGATTTCAAAATGTTAACAATTACCATCTTCAGTTGAGATTAGGACTGTTGTCACAGACTTGTAGTTCTCTGTTTCCAGGGAGCACTTGAAATCTCTCACCCGACTAGGGCTGAATGACCTCCTATCCTGCCCATCTAGAAAAATGCTGGCGTTGCTGAGTGGTGAGTATGCCGTAATTGTCAACCCACTCCTGTCTGCGGCTGACGGAACAAGGGCTCGACTTGCCATGCACGTGAAGTCTAGAAAAGGCTCTGCAAGAGACCCAGAGAAATAGAAAGTATTTACAGATACAGATTTTGCAAATCTGCCAGTATTTTTTGCCCAGATGTCAAGTTTTATTAGGGCTGAGTCAATTTGAATAACTCACCTTTTGACTATTCGACCTTCAATTTGATCAAATATCCGGTCATTCGGTTGTACATATACACGTACATGTACCGACAGGCAGATTGTACATAAACAAACCATCAGCTGCAATAATGAACACAACTGTTCAAGGGTACATGTACTTTATAATCATTATAAAAGCTCCTTAAGTTTAGGAGTATCTCCAGCCAAGATGCAGCAAGATTTAAGAGATAAACAAAACTTCGTGCCCTGTTGAAAATTTCTATTTTTTAAATTTTGTCATGAATAATTTCCTTTTAAAAAGCAGTAGTTGCAAGATTTCTGTTGCTTTTTATTTGAATCTGCCTGAAACAAGCCTCAGTGGTGCAAGTTTTCTCATTTAAAACAAAAGAAAATTCTCCCTTCCTATTCATGAATTTTCTTGCATTCGAATATTTGAATTCAGAAATGAATATTCAAATATTTGATAATTTAAATATTCAGGAAATTAGCACAGCCCTATTTTTGATATACATGTACATGTATATTCAGATTAATCTTTCCAAACTTTATGTCCTGGTTTGAAGGAACTGGCAAAATATTCCAACCCACACTGTCACAGCATCATCCCTTTCCGTTTCCTTGTCAACTGTGCTGCCCTTTTACTCAACAATCAGAGAAATTCAGACCATACAATCCTCTGAATCTAAAAAAACTTCAGGAAATTTCAAATCAATGGCAAGAGCATGAGCAAGGAAACCACATAAAAGTACACATTTACATGCTTATTGCGTACAAGTGGTTTTGAGCACTGGTATTCAGTACAAACAGCTCAATGTCAAAATTGACATACACTCACCCACACGTGTACAGCAAAGCCAAATAAAGAGAAACCACTAAATGGAAACTCAAAAAGAATTTGCTACCAGTACCTTCATCAGAAGGTGATGTTCTATCCGCTCCAAGCGGAACAAAAGAGGGCTTTTTTTTGGCGCGCCTTTATAATGGAGATCAATGCCACATTAGGCATGGATTACGCTAAATATGCGCAATGAATTTATTCCTTAATGTATGGCCTTTGCATACACCCAGAACGTGGGCAAGAACGCTTGGAAAATTTAAAACCACCTGTGTTTCCGTTGCCGCTTGGGGGTGCACTTCAACTCTAGGCGGATAATAAAATACCGTACATGTGCAGTACATGTCATTCATGACTTTACCAGTCAGCAAGTATGTATTTCATGTACAATTTTTATCCTACCGGTACCAATAATTTATAATCCCACTGTTAAGAAGAGACTTTGATTTAATTGGATTTGTTCATGTTACCACAAGGCCATTTGAAAACATTTTCTATCAGGCCCCCCTCCCTCATCATTGATCTGTAGACGAAATTCTTGACCCCACTTGAGCAACAAACACTTGGATGTTCCAAGGTGTGCAAATCTACCGGTAACATACCATATGTGACCTGCTCTGCAAAAAAAAAGGTAAAAAGTCGCACAATGCCAAAATATGTATGGCCTGTTCTATTTGGAGAAGGCACAATTTCTTCAAAAACATGATTTTGTGGTTTGTCCTTCAATAGCTTCTATAAATATTTTTCAGAATTTGTGACTGCAAGCATGGATACTGATGAATAAAGATGAAAAATTGATCATTCAGTAGGAAATCCTACATAGCATCGTGTTTCCAAGCGCTATACCGGTATTTTCTGAGCTTTTTCTCGAAAAGTGCTTTCATTGAATCCGAAAATGTGGATATACATTTATATACAAATGTGAAAATGTGAATATACATTTATATACAAATGTGAAAATGTGAATATAGATTTATATACGAATGTGAAAATGTGAATATACATTTATATACAAATGTGAAAATGTGAATATAGATTTATATACAAATGTGAAAATGTGAATATACATTTATATACAAATGTGAAAATGTGAATATACATTTATATACAAATGTGAAAATGTGAATATAGATTTATATACAAATGTGAAAATGTGAATATAGATTTATATACAAATGTGAAAATGTGAATATAGATTTATATACAAATGTGAAAATGTGAATATACATTTAAATGTCTATACATGTACATGTACATATCTCCGGAACGCAGTGAACTACAGGGGTCATTCATATATGTAGCTTTTGATGTACGGAATCCAGCCATATCAAAAACTCATAACCTGAATCTGGCGATTTATTACACAGTTTTCTAGAGCCGGTCAAATATAGTTTCCAAGGACATCTTTACGAAATCAAATCTGCCCAAACGCAGTTCATCCCAAAAGTTCGAGAACATGAGCAACCTGTTTAAATGGAATTTACACCGACCATTTTGATACCCCGAGCGGTACATGTGCCATACATATTAGTACAAGTAACATGGTTGCAATTTTGATTTCTTTCACTAAGACTGCAGATGATATACAGAAGCAAAATAGTTAACTTTCGTTACATATTTTTGTCAGGAAACCTTCTCCGATCTGCATGACAGCCATTTGTCTGCAAAGAGCTTTTGTTCACAGGGACACACATGGGTAGACCTTTTGTGCTATCCCTCCGTACATGCTGTAACTAAAGCAGTTGCTGGAAAGATGGCTGCCGTGCAGAACCTTTATTTACCAACTCTTTCACGTTCACACAAAAACATGCAACAGAGACGGTCAGTGCACCCCAGTTTAAATTGCTACGTAGGTGCCTGTAAGCATTCCAAGGAACCCATCCCCACCCACTGAACCTGACTGCACCTCGTTAAAGATGAATCATCAAGTCATCAAAATGAATGGGCAATTAAAATTCACTTTGAGATAAAGTTGCTTTCACGTGGCACTGAGTGCGCATTTTTGTTTTGGTGAAGGAAATGGCATCAGATTTCCCTCTGTTACAATGTGGTTATCCGAGGGGAGGGATTATTGACTTGGGAACAGGAAGCGTGTACAGGATGCCAACTTCAAGACTGGGCTGTAAAGACCATGACCTATTTACATCACATCACTCTCTGATTTCTTAAATAAAAAAAGTTTACCTGTAAAGACTTTTCAAAGTTGGGGCTTGGAAAAAAATTGGCACTACATTAAGCTGTGCTGGTTTTCAACTATTTAAAATACATGTATAATTTGCATATAGTGATAACTTGTTAAAAATAACAGAAGAGAATTTGGGAGGTACAAATATTTGCTTTACATGAAAATGAACGACACTCTCAAGGGTACATGTAGTGTGCATTCTAACCTCTTTGCAAGCCATTTAAACTCCAGAAAATGTCTTTTGTCATAGAGCGGGTCTTTCCCAGTGGAGCAGAAAAATAAATGCCCCTACACAAATACTTGTAAACGCCCCTAAAACATGAGTGTGTATAAGCACATGTACAATGTGCTTCCTACATTTGTTAATTCTTCCAACAGTTAAATATCAAAACAAAACCTGATACAATGAACCTACCGGTACACGTAAATAAAACTAGTGTGTGTTACACGTGACAAGGAAAGAGTTTTTTTTTTAAATACAAAGCTCCTTGGTTGAAGTATGACTTACTGTACAGTAAGCACAGTACCAAGTACTTGGTCATAATCAAACAGAAAGACAAACAGACAAACAGAAAGACAAACAGACACTCAAGAACCATAGTGCGCACATCTCCATTCAATCGTTTACAGTAGAAAGTTTTGAACATCTTAAAAGAAAAACATCCTGTAAAACTCATACAGCCACTGAAAAAAGTTGGCTTACTAATTGGAAAGTTATAAACTATTGCCTAGAGTATGTTGAAATTAGCACGTGAATGGATATGGGCATGATACTCGGGGGGGGGGAGGAGATCATGGGCATCGCCAGGATTTTTTTCTGGGGGGGGGCCAAAGTAAACTGATTAACCATCAACAGTAAACTGGCAAACCATCAGGAGAGATAAGGGGTCAATTTGAATGTGTTTCCATGCAAATCGTTATTCTAGCCTCTATTATCTCTTATCTACTTACTTGTTGGAGTGTTTTTATTTTCCATTTTTTTTCTAACTAGTGGATACCCAAAGAAATACTTGCAACTTCCTCCTACAGAGATGAGAAGTTGGAGGCAACTTTTTCCATCACAGGAAACAAGACCAAACCATAACAAAACCACCAGAAAGGAGGACACAAGAAAAGCAGCAGTTCCCAAGAAAAGACCTGGGAATTGATCCCCTTTCCAAGCTGGTACCAGCATTCCAGTCTGTACCCGTACCTACTGGTGCTTATATCCCACCTCCCACTCCCGCACCCCCCCCCCCGAAAAAAAAAGAAGCTCAGTGTGTCTTTCCTGGCAACGCCCAGGAATGCATATCATATACTTCAAATAGGTCATTCATGTCTATTACTGTAATATATACTTGGTGCAGGTTTGCGATAGGCTTAATAATTTTTTATTTTGAACACCGATAGAAGTGTCCCGACAACCAGGGTTGCAGCCCTTTCTGGAAAGTGCAAGAACCCATATTAAAAGCCATGTTGGTACTGCAATGAAGGCAGATGGAGAATAAAAAGGTTGACACAGGACAAAGACGGATTTTTTTCAGTGAGATGAAAGCACATGCATGTACATTTAATGAGTACTGCGCATGTACAACTTGAAAAACTGTTGGGACTTTGCATTTTATCATAGGGAATGGGGCTGTATCCAGTACCCGAAACCTAACCGTTGTTTACGGGTACCTGATTCCATTTTGTTGAACTTATTACCGGAATTTACTTTGGGGAAATTTTGATCCAGCATTCTAGAACTTTAGGCATGTACCCTTCCCTATTGATTACTTTCCGGAAAACTATTGGAAAAAAATCTGTTATAAATCATCTTTGAGACCATGTACAAACAATTCCCCAATGTCTACACTGGAGATGATGATGCTTACATGTACATTACTGTGACACCCATG